GTATTTGCTTTATTGACAGTTAACTCGTTTACAATCTTTTTTATTCTTTTTTTTATTTCAATTTTACACGAAAAGTGTTTCAGCTAATAACTATGAATAATTTAGTCGGAAAAATGTAGCCAAAGTTAAGAAGGGCTGAAAAATTTTAGTAGCTCGTGGTAGTTAGAGGAAGGTAGTAGATGTTAAGGCTTCACAATTTATTTACGTCTTTACTTCCCAAACATGCTGGTACCCACCGATCTGAAGCCAGAAGGGGCTTCAAGATTCCACCATAGATTGAACGCTGTCCTTCACAAGAACGAGTTCATCCATTGTTCAGCCATTGTGCCATCACTGCTAACTTAAAACTTTTCTGTCGTAAATTATTCAGAATTGTTAGTTTTTTCCATCCAATTTTGATTTTGAGAACCTGAATTATTATTTTGATAAGTAGATAAATTATTAACTCAAAAGTGTTTTACTTATCAATAACTAAATGAAAAAGAAATTTTAGTTAGATTTTTCTCAAAATAAAACAAAAGGGAAATATTTTTTAATTGACTGCAATTTTTACACAAATCATTATAAAAAACATTTCCAAACTTTCACAGACAAGATATTTACAGTGCCTGAAATCATTTAATTAATAATTGTGGAAATGAAAAGTATTTTTATTTCATTTACAAACTCCATTAAATTTTAGAATAATTTATAAAACACATTGCTTATGAAAAATTTGACTAAAACTATGATCATAGCGAAATATTATAATACTAAGTAATAATTCCATTTTATCCACGCGGAACACTGGGGGCTCCGCGTTCTGCTGACCACCTAACCGGAACATCTCTCGCACCCCAGAGCCCAAGGTCAATAAAACTGAGATGGGCACAATAGGCCTCTTTGGACTATCACGCCACTGAGTTTAGCTTAATATTCCATTTTCCAACTTCGTTTTTTTAATCACAAAACTGTACTTTTCTAGATTTAAGACACTGGAAAAAAAATTAATTTATTGAATAATATAAAAGTAATAATCAACATCTGATTGTGTTGGCGAGATGCACAAGCAGTCTGCGTGTCTGAAGGCGAAGTCAAGAGTTGCGGGTTCGAATCCCGATTAGGACATGGATTTTCTTCTCTGCGTGTTATCATTTGTTGTGTGAATGTGGTCCGCCTTATGAGCGACACTGAGGCAGTGTGTCGTGGGCAATGTTGCTCACCTCCGGCAATAGTGTGATGTTAAATGAGCACGGTAAGAGCTAGAAATTCAGTGCCTGACGTTAGAAAAAAAATCTGATTGTTTCTTAAAAACTGAGATATAAGAAGCATTATGAACCTTACACTTGATATACCTAAAAAGCATCCTTATTTTTTTCCTATTTCCTAAAATTTGTTTTAATAACATTTTTACTTAACCTATAAAATATTAAATAACTAAAATAAACCTCTAAAAAGGCACACTTTCAAAAATAGTCAAGAAGGTTACTCTTGCATACATTATTTTATTTAAAAATCCTGATAAAAAATTTAACTTAAATTAACTATAAAATTTAGTTTTATAACTATAAGTGTTAACTATAAAAATAAGGTTTTATTAAATTTAAAAAATTGTTTTCAATAATTGCTGTTTAATACAAGAATGCAGAAATTTGAATTAAATATGATTATAATTTTCCCAAATCAATTACATTTTTTAAAAATTGGATTGATGCGATATAGTTTTGATAATGACTCGTATTCATTAATGATAGTTTAAATTGGGTTATTTCGAAACTATTTTTTTAAGAATTCCTATTAAGCTTAATAGTTCCTATGCTTTCTTTTCTCCACTACCCCTTAATGGCTTTCTTTTTCTCAAACTAAAATGAGAATTTTATGAGTAAGAGAACAGCTGTGATATTTATTTCAATTATACTAATAAGTTTATATTGCAGAAATGTCACGAGTTTTGAATTGCATTCTTAAGTAATATTTTCTTATTTTGAGTTTAGGATTTGAACTAAACGTTGAGCTTCTTCGGTAAACGAAACTTTTTTTTTTCTTTTTTTTTTCAAATGAAAATAATTTTTTGTAAATTTATTGATAGCAATCTATAGATACCCATAATATGCAATCCATTTATAGAGAAATTAACAATTATATATGTAAATTAGTTAATGAAAGAAAGTCTGATTGTAGGGTCAATTATATAAGATATAACTCAAAGTACATTTTAATAACATAACTGTGGAATGATGTTTTATTTTTCCGCCAATTTACATTAAACTTGAACAGCAAGTACATATCGCTCATTAGCTGCAATAGCGGCATAACTCAAAAAATCAAGTTTTGAGATAAGTGGATTTAAAGTTTTCATTGCTAAGGTAAATGCATAAGAAATGCTTCAGTTTGCTTAAACGAAGATTACCTTCAAGTTGAATAATGAGTTGTGCTGGTATTGCTGCTGAAAGAATGTGCATTAACGCGTGTTTTTGAGTTGTGCCACTATTGCAGCCCATGAGCGATAGATATTTTCATTACATATAAGATGTTTTTACAAAAATTGTTTAAAAAGGCAGTTCCCAATAATTGATCAAAAGCATCCGATGTAACTTAAAACATTTTTAAACTAACTGAATTGCAATAAAAACAAGATATAATCTAATAATAAGCAAAATTTCAGAAGCAATGATACAGCATTACCATTTTATCTGAATTTTTCTCATGAAGAGAAGGTTTGAAAGATTTAGCATTCGTGCGCAAATACGTAAGTTCTGCGTACGTTACTACTGAAAAATCTTTGTTCTTTTGCTTAGCATGCCTGAACATAAGTACATAAAAGTGAAGGATACTAAGTGAAACTGCTAAGTCTCTTTAAAACGTTGGAGATATATTGTAAGTTGTTATTTGGACTGATTTTTTTTCTTATGGTGAAATTATGTAATGAATTAAATTGTTTAGTTTAAAATTCATCGTTTTCTTTTTTTATTAATAAAAATAAATAAAACAGTACACTTTATATTCGTCTCTTGATTATTTTCAACAGCTCATTCGAAAAGTCTATCGGAAGACCATAGCCACAATGAAAGAGTGAAATAAACCTACAGAAAGAGTCAAAAATCACATGAGAGCATAAGATCATAAACGCTACTCAAAACCTCTAGAATAATTCGTGATAAACAAAGTCAATAGAGAAACTTCTTTCTCTTTTTATTTTATTTATATTGTTTTTCTCGCCTTGCAAATTCACGACCAGTACTGCTACAAAAGATACTCAAAGTGCTTGAAACATTTTTCTCAGCGGTTATGCTGGTTATGTTCGAAAAGTTGCACCATACCATGCAACGTCAGTCTAATACACGCCTGCAGAATTCTGGCAAAACCTTTGATCATCTTTCTGTGTGACTTCTGTGTAACTCTTGTTCTTCTTAATTTGAGCATCCTTTAAATGTGCAACGTGTGAGAATACAGTATAAATATAATAATGATCTTTGTTTATTTTGGCTTTGTATATCCCGTGTGACTTGCAACTTCCTTTCCTCATCATCAAAGGCTTGACAGCTCAGGGTGGGCCTTGGCCTTCTCAAGAAGGTTTTTCCAGGCTAACCTTTCTTTTTGCTAGTGTTTTTCAATTTGCAACTTCCTTTAGTACCAGAAAGCTTTCCGACCCCAAGTCTGATTCTCTATGTTTGCCTACTTTGCACTTTCATATTTGCCATGATTTTTTAAAGGATTCTGCACGTATAAATCAAGTATGTTAAAGTAAATTTTGTCTTCAACATAAAAAAAAAATAATATTTAATAACTAAATTGTATCATTCTGTGACAAAAGATTTATCAAAAAGGAGACTGAGTTATTAGAAAAATCTGCATTTATATTAATTTATTCAATTTTTTAAAATTTGTTTACAAGCTGGTTAACTTTTTTCCTTAAATAACGAAATTAAAACAGAATGTTTGCTTCATAATTTTTCCTTATTAAGTCTTTATAAGAGCATTATAACTTTGCACATAAGCTTTAATTAAAAGGTAATGCATTCGCAAAATATTTTTATCCTTATTTTTTTTTCCTAAGTAAACAAAACCTAATTTTTATTCAACACTTAATTAGCAAAACATATTTCCAAGCCCAAATTCCAGTTTATAATATTAAAAATTTAAATATAATTCTTGTTTGACTTAAGCTATTTAATAATTCAGAAAAAAATATTCTCGTTATCTGATCAAAAGCATTTTGTTTCTTAGAACAAGATTAAAAATTTAGCTGGAATTAATTTTTTTCCTGCGTCATTAGTTAATTAAATCTTTGTTCTGTTTGGTTTGGTAATTGGGTTTCGTAAAAGTTACTCTTAATTTTACGTCAGAATTTGTTTTTATCTCTTTTATTTATGAGTTAAATATGACTCTATATGTGTTAATAAATTTAAACACTGATTTCATTTAGTAGTTTGAATGGCATTTATGTGTTAAATTTAAAAGTACAATCTGTATGTTTATCCATACAATGCAAAACGTTGAAATTTTGTTCCAGATAAATATAAATTTTACTTTTTAATATATTTTTAAAAAAATCTCAAAAGCATTTTTATTTATCCGCCTTTCTGTGACCACTATCTAAATAGTTTCTGGTGTGTTTGCAGCAGCTTATGAATGCATCAATTATCAGCCAAATAGAAATTTTTAAATATTATTTTAAGAGATTTTTTTTAAAAAAAGAACCGTATGGTATTTTCTAAAAGATATTCCAATCATCTGAAATATTAGTAATTGATACATTTTGTCCTGAATATTGACTTTTGCAAGCATCATTTAATAGCTGATTTCTGCTTACTTTGAAGACTAGAGTTTTTTAATGAATGTCTATCATAATTTGTTTCTTATATTTTACTTATTGTTTTGCTCAATTATTTCTAATGCAATTTTTTTTATTGTTTCGGCTGTTCAACATCACTTATAAAATGTTTCTTTTTAAATTTTGCTGCTAAAATTATTTGGATTGATAATGGCTTTTATTTATTATAATTTTATCTTCTTTTCAGGTCCATATGATATTTTTGTAAGAGAACTCGTTGCTATGGATGGTCTAGATAACAGTGAAATACTACTGATTGATGCTCTTGGGTAACTATATTTTTGAAAAAATTGTGTTTTATTGTTAATTGTGTTATTGGGCATGAAATTTTACTTAAGCAAGTACATAACGTTTATTTTGAAACACAAAATTAACTTTGAGCAAAAACTTGGTTACACTTGAAGGAAAAAAAAACTAGTTTTGCCTTATCTTTTTTCGCTAAATAACTTTTAACAATAAACTGGGGTATCCCAAAAATTACAAAAGAATTTTAAAAAAAATCTATTAAATAGAAATAGAAGAGGATATAAATGTACGTTTGCTACCTGCTGCTAAAGAAATCAGAAGAATTAATCACCCCAAGCTTTATAGTTGGTGTCAAAGTTTGTCTTGTTGAAGTTAGTTGGGGCTGATTTTAGATCATCTTATCTGCAATACTTATATTAGCGTTGTTTAATTTTCTTCTCAGACTGTATCACGTTATTTTAAATATTTCATATTTTTGAAAATGTTATCTGATAATTTCTCTCAGTTAACTTTGTCATATGTTATCGAACTTTGTTGTTTTGAAACTTAATGAAAATAAATGTCCACTATTCTTAAATAGAATGTATCAAACTGAAACTATTCAATTTTATCAGCGTCCGTTTTTAAATTTTCCAATTGTCAGGGTTTTTTTAACACACGATAAATGATTTTACTAATAGAAAATGACTTAATAATAGAAACTAACAGACGATTTTATCAGAATAAGATAGATTCTAATTCTATAAAAAAACACAGGTCAACATAAGTCAAATCTTTTCTATTTTTTAATATATATAATATTAAGAATCGGTGAATCGAACGTGTTAATGGGTACGGAAAATATTTTTTAAACAGATTTCTGTTGCTTACATTCTGGCGATAATTTTCTTGAATTCACTAATCACTCAACATGTTGTTTCACAAAAAGCTGTAATTATAAAGCATAGTTATTTCTTTCTATTTTTTCGTAAAATTTAGATAAGAAATAAAAATTCTTATTAATACTTCCAACTCTCCATAATGCGGATTTTTTTTTAAAATATATAACTCAGTAGAATTGATTTTATATTTTCCCTGCTTAAATATTACTTTTTGTTTAAATTGCTCTAACCTTTAATTTTCCTATTTTAGGTGTCCTACAGATACACTCATTATGGGTGCCCTTTCTAAGGCTCGTGTTGAAAACAAAATACTGCAAGCAACTTTTGATGCCTTCAAATTTCCGACATCCGAAATAGTCCAATTTAAAGCTTTGGTCACTCCATGCCTTCCCACATGTGAACCGGTAAATAACTACGCTACCCTATATGCAAGATACACTTTCAATTTTGACATTTTTTTTTTAAATTTAATACTTATTTTCTAAATTTAATGCTTTACTTAATGACCTTATGCTGAATTTTATGTTTTAAACATGCTGTAATCATTTGACTAGTGAGAGTTTGTTTTTAAAGATATCCGCAAATCGTTTGCTATTATTAAAAGTCTTAGAGCAGAACTTAAAAATTGGCATAATTCTGCTCCTGAGATATTCGTATTTATTTTGATTCATACAACCTAAAATAATTTGTATGGCTTAATGTTCAAATTCTTAAAATAATTAAAGCTGAAATAATTTTGTTTATTGCAAGTTTTGCATTATCTCTATAATTAAATTTTAAATCCTATTTGAATTCTAGAAGTAATTAAATCAATTAAAAATCAAAATTAAATCAATGTAATACCGAATCTCCAATTACTTTATCTATAGATTTTATTTTAATCATAGTTGAATTCTTGACCTTTTTCGTAAAATTATTTTTGAATGTTTCTTTTTCTTATGGTTTTTTCAATGTTTTTTTTTCCTACTTGAAATTTTATAAAAATGCATAACCAGGAATAATATAAATACGTTATCAAGAGAAAAATCTTTAATTAAAGTTTTAAAAGTATTTGAAACAACGAAAAATCGGGTTTACATGAAGTAAAAAAATTAAGAGGAAGAAAAATAAAATTATCGCACCTTTTGAGTTGAATCATTTCCTTTTAAAAGCTTACTAAAATAATTTAAAAAGTAAAAAGGAACCTAAATAAAAATGTGAACTCCCGAAGTTAATAACACATTGTGTAGCTAATTTAAACTATGATAATGAAATATTTTAACTTGTTAAAATGAAAGCAATATTTTCATGAAGATGATTGCTCTGTTAGATCATCTAATGATGTGAGTTAGGAAAAAAATACTTTCCACAAACTGATTGCCTTGTAATAAACATTTGGTTGAATGAGTTCCCAAATTATGAAATCTTTCGCATTAATTCATACGCTGCTTGCGGTGTTCAAACATTTGATGGTGTGAGTTTTAAAAATATAATAATTTCAGTAGCCTGATTGCATTGTAAAAAAAATTTGGTTGAGTTAGCTCCCAAATTATGAGATCTTTTTCACATGCTGCTGAAGCTGTTCGAACATTTGATGAAGTGAGCTTAAAAAATGAAATATTTACCATAGGCTGATTGCTTTATAAGAAACACTTGAAAATGTTAATTAAAAAATAATGCAATGTTTTCTATAGGCTGATTGCTCTGTGCGAACATTTGATGGTGTGAGTCAGAGGATGACTTCTTTCGGCAAGAAGAGGCGAAAAAGATCATCTACTGAAGAGGACGAACTGATTGTTGTCCAAACCATTCATATCACAGATAAATTCGGATTTGACAGAGAGAGTAGAAAGACAGATGATTCCTCTGAATTCGGTCCTACAAGTATATCAGGTATGCATTTTCTACGTTAAGCATGTTTATTTAATGATGTGCATTTCGTTTTATATATATTGAAACTGTTATACTTGAAACCTAAGTTTCATTTAATGAATTAAGTATGTTAAGTTTAGAAACTGTTGCCATTGATATTTTTTAGTAGTTAGAAATATTACTGTAATAATATTCATGGAATTTCACAACAAAAGTGCCTGTGATTGAACATAAAGTATTTTTTTAAGATAGGCTTTACATGACATTTTTAGCGAAATTGCATGAGTTTTAATTTAGGCTTATTCGAATATTTATACTAATTATGTAGAAAAAAATATTGTATATCAATAGTTTTTTATAAACACCGTTTAATTTTTTTTTTGCGATGTTTCGGATTTTTTTTCCTTTATAAATAAAACACACAATGCTTGTTAATGCGATATAATTGGCAACTATACAGATTGTTCCGTAAAGAGTTACTTTAATATGTATTTTGGAATACTTTTCTGAAATTAAAACAAAAAAGTACGCTCATTTGGAGTCGCAAATAAAGCGATGTAAAAGCAAAAACGCTACCGATATCTGTCTAAACGTAGTACAGGAAATTTAATTAAATTTAAACAAGTTTAATTGGAAATCAACACATCAAAGTGCTTCGATCAACTTTCCTGTTTTGTCCAGTCAGTCTTTTTTTTTATTACTATCGCCTTCCTGTACTGTAACTGGTCAGATTTCGATACCATTTATGCTTCTTTTTTCTCGCTTAAATAATAATTTATGACACCCCCAAAGAGCATAGTTTTTGTTCATATTATAAGGATTTTGAAAATTCAAATTAATTATGAATAACCTGCATACGTTGCATGTACTACGTATAATAATTGATTGATAAAGAGTTATTTCAAGAATTAATGGAATTGTTTATCTTTTGAAAATATTTAAACATTTGCTGTTGTCTTTCTAACAGTATATTTCAATTTTAACCATTATTTTTTTTAAAGTTTACTTCGAGATTTTACTTTATCATGTACGTTATCAGACGGTACCAGTTACAATAGATGAACTTTCCAAAATACAAGTAAAAACCACTGCATTACGTTCTAAAAGAATAACACATCATATTTCAAAATTTCAACCACTTAAATTTGCTAAAATTGTCTGCTTATTTTACTTGAAATAAACTTAAAAGGATGCAGTTAAACGTATGTTTTTTTACTTTACCTTTACTTCAATACTTCATGGTAAATTCTCTTACAACTGCGAAAGTAATTATAATTTTACAGATAAGTGAGCCCAGGTAAAGCTTAAGTAAACCATTAAATTTCAAATGCTAATAATTTTTATTCAAACAAATTATGGTAAGATTATTCTTAATGATGAGGGTAAGCAATAGTGCAATAATTTGTTTGTATTTTGCTATTTTGTAAACATATTTCTTTCTAGCATTTGAAACATCAGGGTTTAATCTAAGTTTACCTGATTCTCTAAACTTAAACTTATTAAACACCAATGGAGGTGAAACAAAATTAGTCATCCTGCTTCCTTTTAAACTATGCTTAAAGTTTCATATAAAAGTCAAATATATTTTGAATTGGACATCCCTAAAGTAGTTAGTAAAACTTCAAGTATACATCCACGTTTCATATTTTTTAACTACATATTGTTTATTTCCTTCCAGAAAATTCTAACTCATCGACATGCTTAAATATGGCTGGTTTGGTTATTGCTTGTTCTTTATTCCTGATTGCTCAATTGATAGTTCTCTTAGCGTGGGCATTTGTTTGGCACAGAAGAAACAGAGTAAAGACCAGTATGCAAAAAGATACTAGTAGGAGTATTGATATGATATACAACAGTAGAAGCAGTAAGTCCACCACCATTTAACGCTAGCCATTTTTTTAAACATTTTACATTGTTAGCAAATAGTCCGTCATCAAATGCATGCTAATAAATTGGAAATGAATTTAGAAAGGACGATTATCCTCTAACCCGGAAGCTAATTTGCAATTTGGAAGCCATTAACGACTCTCTCTCCTAAAATAATAAATCTAAAGAAAACTTTTAAAATATTTTTAAAAATTTTTTCAAAATGGAGACAAATTTGAGCGTAAAATCTACACATTTATGTCACATTAGGAGCTTTATAACAAACTGTAATAGCAAAATATCAAAATAATATTTTTTCTTGATTAATAATATGCTTACCTGAATAAATTCTCTCAAAAATTTCAAATATATTATGAAATATAACTAAACATATTATTCAGTATTAATTTTTTAAGTAAATATTCTAAATATTTTTATTTAAAGCATAATAAAAATAATAAATTCACACGTAAATCTTAGCTTTTAGTTCAAAGCATAGCTAACACTATACAAAATCTATAGAAAAAGTTTCGAAGAATTGTGCACTAAACTTCTTTGTAACGTGTGTTAGCGTTAAGACATTTTCTCAAAATCAACACTTTTCTGAAAATGGATTCTAATAACTGTACTGTTTCGTTTATCAGCAAGTGAAAAAAAACAACTACAACTTCAATTCTGAAGATCGAAGAACAAAAATTTAAAAAGGTTAAGTAATCTAATGAATACAAGTTCAAACATTAACATTAAAAACAAATCAAATTTGTCGAAATTACCGATTTTTATCCAGTCGAATATCGCAACAAGAAAATTAAAAAAAACATTTAGCATTTGTTCAGCGCAATCTCAATTCCAATGTTCTTGAAGACTTTAAAAAGTAACAAAAAAATGACAAATTTCGATATTGTATTTTACATTTGTGAAGCAATATTAAATTTCAATAAAAAATATATATTTAGACATATATATTTAAGCATTTTTTTATTAAACGTTTTACATATTTAAACACTTACAAATTAGGCCTTTAGCGTTATCTTAAAAAATGAAACTCTTATTAGCATACAACTAGGACTGTAATTTGTTAGAGTTCTCATAAGCCTTGAATTCTTAAATAGGAAAGTTAATTATAAATTTTGTTCTAGTTGACTGAAAATCAAGAACAATTCCTCCTTTAAACCATTTACTATAGTGATTGTCTTATTAATATTATTGGTTGTCAGTTTTATTTATATTACTTACGGACTTCATCATTAATCGAGAAAATTATATCTCTCTCAAAATTATAAATAACCTAACCAAACTAGTTGTTCAGCTCAAACCATATCAATCACTTAACTTTTTTGGATTTTTTTTCAACATTTTAAATGTTTTGTGTTTTTTTTTTCGGTATTTTCCTTTATAAATGTTGCCATTAGTGTGTGAACTTTGCAGTGATGATTGCTTTACAAAATAACCTTTAAAAATATTTCTAAATATAGGATTTATACTTTAGAAATTAGTCAAACATTACCATCTTAAACCATTTAAATTAAACCAAATATTACCATCTTAAACCATTGAAATTAAGCCAAATATTACCATCTTAAACCATTGAAATTAAGTTTCGCATTTTTTTACATTCTAATTATTATATATTTAAAATTGTTACAAATAATTAATTATTTAACAATTCATTTATTACAATAAAGCTATTTTTTTTTATTTTTCAGGAGATAGTTCTTTTGGTAATAGTTATGGACTAGACAATCCATATCGAGAAACTATTAGTCCATACGACGTACCATACAATCCTCCCTCACAGTCCCTACCCATAACGAGAAGATATTAAGCATCATTTCTTGTACAGGTAATAAATGCACAACTCTTGAATCATTCAAAGAAATTGTGAAGTGAATCTTGAAAAAACTTGCTTGCTTTTTAAATTATCTGTGACTTATCCTACCAATAATATTGTCCTCAACATCAGATTTGCTAACATACAGGGCTAAAATTGAAAGTACAAGGTAGATTTGCATAAATTAAATAGAAGCATGAGATTGCAAACAATATCTGATGCCAATAGAGAGGTTTGTAAGTTAGTTGTTTTGTATAGTTGAAATGGTGTACCAATCCATGCAACGTCAATGTTTAATGCGTATCTGAAGCGTTCAGCAAAATATTTTTAAGGATCTCCTAGGTCAAAAGATTCACAAATTGAAACAATAACCTCAAGTTAATATGGAATTTTTAATTCTCCTGGTATACCTTCTTTTGCCTTTTCTTTTTAGCAACTTTATAAAATAACGTTAGCAGAATTCTTTTTCTCAGAGCGATAATATGTATCTGATTTTAAAAAAATATATATATATGTGTACGATCCATGAAAATTAAGCACACACTCAGTTCAGAGTGACCAAAAATTATTTCACAACTTGTATTTTTGAGTGCATTAACTCACTAATAATAATAAAACATTACTTTAAAACAGTACTCGGTTTAACAAAATGTAAATGGGTACTTTATATATTATCCTGTGGACCATTTTTGCCAAATCAGAAAAAAGATCGATAAAGCATCGCTTTTTTTAGCTTTATTGTATAATCATGTATTATAATGCCGGTACTGAGCAAGCCTAGCCTACTAAGTACATCCATTTTTGCTTTCATGAAAGCGTGTTTAGAAACCTGTTCTTTTCCCCCTCTGCTAAAAAATTAATCTAAATTTGAAATCTTCTTATCCCAGAAGATAATCATTGTATCGCAAAAAATGTGCGTTATAGAACGCTATATGTTTTTATATTTGCAAACAGAATTATTTAAATAATCAGATTTTTCATTTTGTTGTTGTTATTCCACGTGAAAACAAAATTGAAATGGTTTAAATTTCATTATTTTTTATTTCAGCATGCGTTAAATTATGTTTGTATTTTATTCATTTCTTGATGATCAATTACAATGTAAAAATACGTTTGAAACTCACAAAAATGAATTCTGCTTGATTATGTCGAAAGAGATTGACTAAGAACCAAAAATCCTGTAAATTACTTAACTTGTAGTCGAAAAAATATTTGAATCTAATTCCAATCTTCTATGCAATGTTTTTAAAATTTGGCATAATTGCCCTATTTAAAAAAATTTAGAAAATTCTAGAAAAGAAAAGAACGTGAATATTTTATGACAGATTTTTGGCATGATTGCCCTATTTAATAAAATTTATAAAATTCTAGAAAAAAAAAAAGAACGTGAATATTTTATGACAGAAGCCCTTGTTTACTTCTGGAAAGTATTTAGAGCCTACTATTGGAAAATATCAAGATAATATATTAGCTTACAGCTTACATAGAACCAACGTATCAAAATAATATATGAGCTTAAAGCTTACACAGAAGAATCAACTCTATGACATGATGAAAACGATAATAAAAGTACTAAATATTAAATAAAGTATAGAGAGAAAATATATGATGAAGAATATCAAAAAAGCCATATAGATCTCTTTATTAATATATTTTATTTTATTTTCCAGCGAGATGCTAACCCTGCCACATCAGAACAAAGTCATTCCAAGAATTTAGAGAAAATAGAATTATTTCTTGATGAATTATGATTGGTTAGAGTTGCTTTCCTTGGATAAATCAGTGAATCAAAACTGTATGATCTTTAATGGGAATAAACACTCTGCTTGGATGTTCATATAAACTGTTAAAATGAATCAAGCATTCATCATAAAAGAAACTTTAGAAATGAACACCTTGACAAAGAAACAATCCATTTTAATTTATTTATAGTTCCGATTTTTAATTTATTCGCTCATTTTTGTGTTCACCTTCTTAAAAAGACTGAATATATTTTGTGATGGTGATAATTCCCTAATCCACGTTGCCAACGACTGTTGCTGGTCTCTATTTTTATTATCCGACATATTATGGTTTTCTTTTATTGGATATGAATTCCTTTTATGTATGTATTTGTTGATCATTTTATTTATGTTCATTATTAAAAACATCATTTTTCTAAGTCGTTTTGTCAGTTTCTATTTCTGATTTTATGTACGGAGCATAACACCTTCAATAATATTTGGTCTAATGGTTTAATAGTCATAATTTTCTGGAAGCTTATTTTTAAATTTTGAATTTCGTAATGATACGCTTGCAATCGAATATGGACGTATGGAATTTTCAATCGATCGAAATTTAAGGCCACATTTAATAAATTTTTGAAAATTTATAAAATGTTGCCTCAAATGAGGTTAGATCGAAAATTCCATGATTCCATTTTCGATTTTATGTTCTATGTTAAATATAAGATAAACTACACTCGGAATAATATTTTGTCTAATGATTATGCGCTAATTTTCAATTTTCAGGCATTGACTGATTTAAGACCGTAGTTACTTTTCGGGAAACTTACATTTTTTCGCTTTTATGCATGTATTTGTTGATTATTTTATTGTGTTGATTATTTTATTATGTGTTATTATGTTGATTATTTTGTTATGTTTTATTTATGTTTATTTATTATGTATTATGCTGTTTTCTTAGTGTCAATTTCTTATTTAATGGTACGGAGCAAATCACCTTCAACAATATTTGGTCTAATGGTTTGATAGTCATAATTTCCTGGAAGGCTCTTATTTTTAAAATTTGAATTTAGTAATAATACACATGTAATCGAAAATGCATGTATGGAATATTCGATTGATCCTAATTTAAAGCCGCATTTTATAAATTTCGAAAATTTATAAAATGTTTCCTCAAATCGAAAATTCCATGAGTCCATTTTCGATTTTATGTAAAGTAGTGAAAATACAAAAAAATACACTCTGAATAAAGTTTGGTCTTATGATTATGTACTAATTTTCAATTTTCAGGCAGCGACTAATTTAAGACCGTAATTACTTATCGGAAACTTATATTTTTTCACAAATTTCGAACTCTTGATAATATACTTGTAATTTGAACTTGTGAAATGTGATCTCAGGCAGTGATCTTTTTTAAGTTTGATATTGTTATCATTGTTTGTTTTTTTTTGCATTTATCCACTATGAGGCATAAGCAACAATAAAAAAATAATATTTACTAATGTCACTTTTTCTAGAATTTCATCCCCATTGTTCAAAAAATCCTTATCTTGAATATAATTCTGCAAAAAAATATATATATATATCTTCTTTTCTATACTGTGTTTACTCGTAAAAAAGTTTTAAAAGAAAATTTAAAAATAATAAATAAAAGTCATTAAAAAATTTAATTATAATTAAATCATATTTAATATACCTCATATCAAAGGAATGATCGATAATTTGAGAGATCAATTAAAAAAAATAAATGAAACAGAAATGCTTGTTTCACAGCGTTTTTTGCTTAGGAAACTAGTTGATTTCTTTCCCACAATATCAAAAATTAGATAATAGTTCTTCAAAAGAGGATACTATACACTGGAGAAAAAAAAACGCTGCTGTCTGTTCCGATGTCTGAGTAAATAATTCCTCAGTTGGAATGAAACATTGTTTTATAGTTTTTGCATTCAACAACGTCATCTACTTATAAATTTTATCACTTCTTAGGAACTTTGGTGAGAAAAATTAAACTGGTGTCCTAAGCAGGACGAAAGAAATCCCTTTCGTTATTTATTGATATTAATTGATTTTTAAAATCAGCTGGCTATTTTTTTGAGCCCCTTATATACAAAAATTGCTGCAAAAATGATAAATAACTGTATCACGTTTTCAGTTTAACAACAAACATCTGAAACTCATTTTTCTCTTCAAAACGAATTTAGTCTATGTAATGAAATAATAATGTATTCAGAAATGTTATGGAAACTAATCAATATTAATATCAAATTAAACATGCATTTTTTCCTCAATCAATTCTCTAAATATTATTTAAATAGTGTTACTAAATTTGGTGCTGCCATCTATAAAACGAAAAAGGAATTTTTTTTCTTTTATTCAGGGATTTAAAATAATCATTAGATTAGAGCTTTTAAAGTCAATATCATATGCAACGTATTCAGAAAACAAATGCGAAAAAAGATGTCTAACCTTAAAATATTTCCGTACAGTCAACAAAATAAAATCTGTTGATTCTTGTCCCGAATAAATCAAACAAGAAATATTGGGATTCTTGGGCTTAAAAAATAGTTGTACATTGTTTCAGAGTACTTTAATAGTTTTGGGTGTAAAAATAACTAATATTTAATATTAAATTAAACGTGCTTTTTCTTCCCTCAATCGTATTAGTTACTTAAATATTATTACCATATTTAGTGCTGCCATCTGTAAAAGTTAAAAGAAAATATTTATACTTTTCTTTCAATCAGCAGATTTAAAATAATCATTTAGTGATTAATGTTTAGAGCTTCATGTTTTTGCAATCAGTGCCATACCATGCCATACAATGCATTCCGAAAACAAATTTGAAAAATATTAGCTATAAAGTATTAAATATTTAACGTGAAATTTTCTGCACCGTCAACATAAAAAAAAGCTGTTAATTTTTGTACTGTATAAATTAAACAAGAAATAGGAAAATTTTCGGCCTTAAAAATGTAGTTTTTACATTATTTCAGAATATCTCAAAAGTTTTGGGTGTTCTAAAAATTTGCCATTGACAACCTTGGAGATTTTCTGAACCATTGTTTTGATCAGTAATTTATTTACTTCCAAATTTCCCTTTATGAACGAATCCATTTACCTAATAAAAATAAGGTAAGCTTCAAAATAGTGACTTTAGTACCCCGCTACCATTCTGCTATAATAGTTTTTTCGTCAGTTTTTTATTTATTTTATTTTATTTACTTATTTTGTTAATTATTTTATTATACATTTCATAATTTATCTTTTTATTATTGTTTAATTCTTTTCATTTTGGTTTGTTTTGAAAGTCTTAAAACATTACCTATGAAACCAAGCACTATAAAAAAAAATATTATTGTTTAAGAGCGAGATGGAAAAAACAACAAAAAAAAAGCTCCCATGCTATTGGAACAAGGATACTTCAATATTCCAAAAATGGTTAATTGGAGGAAGAAAATAAAAAGTTTAACATTTAAAACTTATCAAAAGTATATATTATTATTAATATATATTATAATATTATAATTACATATAATTAATAAGATTTCTCATGATTTTAAAATGTAAAATTCAGATTTTAGGTCTTAATGAGTAATTTCTTTTTTTTTTCATTTGCAGTGTTCCTTAATTAGTAGATTCTTGTGCAATGTGTTACAATAATCTAGCAATGTGATTTCCGAATCTACTGAAATAAGTGAGTTGAATGAAGCTCTGAGCAGTAGTGACTTCATTCCAATTATTTAAAAATAAAAGAATGTACATAAAAGAATGGATTTTTTTTTTTTAAATTATAGTTTAATTTCTTACATTTTATTAAATAGTTAAAACTCAATTGTGAATATCAACTCTCAAGTTAATTAATATTTTGGAATTAGTTTTTGTGTTGTTGAAAACATTCCGAAAATGTTCTAACTTTATTGATTGCACGAATATTTAACCGAACAAAAAATCAAGAAGCCTACCACTGTGTCTTTAGAAAATATAATTTTTTTTAACTTTCTCATTTTATATAGTTCATAATAATACATTAATCATTAGCAAAGTTTCAAAGTATCATTAAGTTTTCGAAAAATATTCTAGCCAATTTTTATGTAGCTTAAAATGTGTCTCCTAGATGACAGCACCAAAAAGTTTAGAATATGATTTTACGGCATATCTTAGTGGCGCTATCTATTATGTTTCTTATCAACTAATTGCAATGACTTTTAATTTTATTCGCTATTTCTCCAAAACTTGTTTTTAAAATTTTTATTTAAAATATTATAAATACTATCATAGTATATTATTTAGAAAAAGTTTTATTTCTTGTTCTTATTTAATAATTTATTTCCAAATACAAAATTTTTTTGGTATAATATATATANCAAATAAGGAGACGAGCAGCCTACTTTGAGAAAATGGATTCGTTAGTTCAGAAGTTTTTTAGGGTGTTTCAGTGCTTTAATTATTTTTTTCTGTCTGACTTAAAATTAAATATTTTTTGTCTTTACAAAATTAATTTTACAAATTTACAAACCACATTTGTATAAATTTCAGATCTAGAAATTGTGATGTCGGTAGATGACCAGAAAATTCAGCTCTTTACAAACAACTAAGTAATTAAGCATATAGCAGTGAGCCTTAAAGGCAAACTGAAGCCAGCAGGTTGAAAAGCGAATTTCTAATATATATATTATGCTAAATATATATAATATCACATTTTTAAAAATAAAATAATATTCTCATAATTTTTTTAACAGTTCCTTACAACCTGTGACTTAAATTCCACCCTTAATAGTTTTTTCGTGCTATTATGAAATTATGCGATGATAAAAATCGGATGATTGTTTGAGAGAAATATTTTTTTTTTTAGCTTCCATTAAGATAACAATAATTTTCCTTAAGTTTTAATAATTAAAATAATTCTATAAAAAAATTTCTTCATTTCCTTAAAAATCGATTTAATATATCACTTTGCTGTTTTACTTTTTTTTATTAAAGTAATTTGTTTTTATCTATTTTTATTTTATTAATTTTTTTTTAATTTTCTCAAATTCACTGCATTTGATTCAATTGTGTCTTATAGTGAAAATGCTTAGCACGGATTAAATAATGATTAAAATGCTTGTAAGCATTGTTTCAAATCATCCAATACAAAAACCAACCTCAAATTCCATTTATTAAATGATCAGATTTTCATCTTATGTTACAATTTAAATTAAAAATAGAACTTCGTAATAGATCAAATATTTAAAAATTCAATTACAGGAATTTCATATCGGGCACTTAGTGGAACTTCAGTTGTTATCCGTGATCCAAATCTTGAAAATCCTCTTGAAAAAATGTCGACAATTTAAGCTAAAAGAAAATGTTTACATCATTATAGTTAAACATTAAAAGATAAAAAATATAAATTGAATAATACCTTGTAAAATTATATGACAAATTAGCACTAGACCATTTCTTGAAAATATTTTACCGTGGTAATGAAAGTTTTTTTTTTTTTTTAAATAAATTATCATTTAAAATATTTTTATTTTACAAAGAGCATTTACTTCCTAATCTGTCCAATCAAACCTCAGATTTTGTAGTTAGTAGTTTCTAAAGTCGTGGAGATAAAATTCAAATTATTTGACATGCTTTTTTAAACTACTTTTACTTAATTCCTTACAGTGGAAAAATAAAGGCGTCGACAAAATCATTCAAGTCAAAATCATCCGTCCGTTGTATTGTTAAAAAATTATTTTTACAGCTAATGAATAATAAATTTATTTCATTTCTCAGAATATTGATTATTTATCGACTAAAATAATAATAGTAATACTAAATAGTAACGACTAAAATAATAATAGTAATAATAGTAATTACAATAGCGTCGAAATTCTTTCTTTTCTGAAATTGTTTGATAATTTGAAATCAGCACGTGCCAGTAAATTAATCATTAATGTGTCATTTCTCCGAATAGAATTTGTTTAAAAATTTCTTTTAAAGAAAAATAAATAAAAAGAAATTAAAGAAATTTCTTATCCTCTTATTAAAAAAATTTGCGAAAGTTTTTAAAAGATTGCTTGAAAATTTTACTTTTTTACAACTATTTAATACGAAGTCACGGAATTAGATCAAAACAAAAATTCTGACAAAAGCTAAAATATCACAACGATTTTCCTTCGGTTTGAAAAGGAACACAAGAGAATTGTACTAAGAACAACAATATTTCTTTTTAATAAACTGAAATCATATTATGAAGAGAGTTCTCAACCTTTGCAGACGTCTTCACAGTCGTCTTTGGTGTTGAAATTATTTGAATTGCCGTTGCATCCTCCATAAATAAAGAATTCACATTCTCCAGTTTCTTGGTTGTAGAAATACCTGGGAACAGCGGCTCTGCATTCTCCAACTTCTTTCTCCTGTTGGCACGCTGATGGAAGATGCTCAGCTGAAGTAAAAGTTGGAATTTAATGTTAAAGTTAATTCTTACAGTAAATAAGACAATAAAATATTCGTAACACACTCGTCTATAAGATTTACTGGAAGCTAAGTACTAATACACTGTTAAAAACTTTCAAACATGTTGAACTATCAAATCTTACATTTATTCTGTAAACCTAATATGAATAGCTAAATTGAACCATATTCTAATGCTTCTCAAAGATTTTCAAGATACTCAGACTCACATTATGATTCAATGTGCAATGAGCAAAAATACTTATAATAAATAAATTAATAAATAAATAATAAATAAATAAATAAATAATAAATAAATAATAAAAAAATAACTTAATAAACAAATAATAAATAAATAAATAATAATAAAAAAATAATAATAAATAAGTAAGGAAAGAAGGAATAAATAAAAAAATAATAAATGAATAAATAATAAATAAATAAATAAAAAGGACCACTGAGAATAACTGTTGATCTAATGATCCGATCTTCATGTTCCAGGATTCAATCCTAATGGTACGAAGGAATGATCTCAATATGCTAATTAATAATTACAGACGATATTTTAAGTAATAAAATCAAACACGAAAATGCACTCTCTCTGAATAATTACCTTTTTCTCGAGGGATATAGATTAATAACCACCAAATTATAGGGAGTAGCCGTAATCTGGGAAATATGGTTTGCTAGCTAACAGTTTGTTAAGGAGAGTGGTTCAAAGTAATTTCCCTTAACCCTTTGTATCACCGCGTTACATATCTGCAACATACATGAAAATCCAGTCCTATAATGAGGTGGATTTACCTATAAAATCGAACTAAGTTCAGGTAAAGAAAATATTGCAAACTCGGGGGAACCAAGTCTTGGTGCAGCTGCCAATATTATAATGCGTTTAGCCAGGATTGTTCCACGACATAATTGCAGGATATATAATTTTTTTTACAACAATCTCCATGATTGTATATTTGGCTAAGGAGGGATTGAAAAATGTGGTGTGAGACCTTGTTACCATAAAAACAACAATTTCAAAATTTTTCCCATGAAGTTTTAAATATATTGGAATTTTTGAGCTATTTTTCACGATATTGGAGATGTTCAACAAATGCTTTTTATCAATAAATTTTTAATTTTAAGGCCTTAAGTTTTTCATTATTTTTTACACGCTTAATATGATGTATTCTAACATCCGCGTAAATATTTCTTAAATCAGAGTTGTTGAGTTATAAAGGGTTAATGCTAATTTCACTTTTTGCGTATTTCACCATATCTCCAGAACTTTTTAAGCGAATCAAAATATTTTTGTGCAGAATTATAAAATTCGTTTATCCAAAGATAATTTTATGCGAAAAATTACTTACAATTAATATTTATTATTTTTTTTATTATTTTATTTAAGAATAGTCGAGAAAATTTTGAACTGTAAATTTTACAAGTTTAACATCATAAATATATATCATAATATATCATAAATATATATGTAATTTTACATAGAAACATACAACATTTAACGAAATAGGTCGAATAGTTCTTGAGAAATTGAATTTTTAAATTTGATTTCTCAGGGACTATTCGACAGAAGTTATTCAGAGTTGTCCTTTTTTAATTTGCGCAGTGTAACTTGTGATGTTGTTCACCACGCATTCCCTCCTTCCAATTCTTTTATTTTTTCCTTTACTCAATTAAGAACTTTTACTCCCTTTTTTTATTTTTTTTATTTATGTTAGCATTCCTTTTGCAACAATAAATTTATTTCTCTATGCAAGCTATAAGCTAATCTTCCCATCTTGATATCTCCCAATTTTATGCTTGAAATTTTCGTGAAAATAAACAAACGGGAATGTCTGTTAGATAGATTTCAAATAAGTTCTTTCTTGAAATTTCTTAGATTTATCTATAAATAGAAGGGTATCTGTGTTTAGATGATGACTATGATTAGATGAGTTCCATTTTTTGATGAAAAATATAACGGGTATGTGACGTAATTTGAAAGTGGTATTCTATTTGATTGAAGAAGTACTAAAAACTACACACCCAATCCAATATGATACTTTGTGCTTATTTGATTGCATAAAATAAGGAAGATAAAAATGAAATGCTTTAAAATAATATTTGGTTAAATTTAATTTTTTTTTAATTTGATTATGATTTTTTTTAAACAATTCTAGAAAGAGTTGAATTTGAAGCACAAACCTTGAAGATATCAAGATGGGAAGATTAGCTTATAGCTTGCATAGAGATATAAGCTTATAGGTTCAAAATGGGCATCAACTTGAAAAAAAAGCGGAAGTAAGAATGCTTAATTAAGTAACTGGTAAAATTAAAGAAGTATAAGAAGACAATGTGTAAGAACATCACATTCCTAAATAACAGTTCATGATGAATAGATTTTTCTAAGAGTGTTTAAGTATTTGATTTTGAATTGATTTTTTATTGATAAAAACAAGATAGAGTAAAAAAGTATGATATTTTTATTTTATAAAACTTGAACAGATGATTTCAGATATCAACATTAAACATTATTTTTATAAAAAATAAGGTATTTAAAATAACTTGTTGGAAAGCATTATTAAATACAAAGGAGTAGTATAATTTTAAATAGGAAAATGGAAAATAACAAATTTTCTTATCATAAAAAATGGTAAAAACACTCATATCCAAAAGCATTTGATATTTAATTTTTTCCCATCGGACATTTATATTAATAAAGCAATATTTAGGTATGTTTTTGTAATCATTAAATTAATTTAATCATCAGATAATAAATGATTCAAACAGAAATAATAATATAATTAATTGTAAATGAAGTAAAAAATAAATCTGATGACTAATAACCGTAACGCACCAAAGTTTTTTTTAAAAGTAAAGCCACCGTCGAAATAAATGAAACATATACTCTTACCGCATTTTATACTAAGACAAGAAATAACTCCGATTGCAGTACAAAAAAGTATCAAAGACTTCATTTTATTTCACTTAATCTCACATGAAATCCATCAAGATTTGGCATTGTTTACAAGACTAAGCCGGAAGAAGTTCAAGGAAAATTTTCCGTTAATTTTTCTTATTTAACCATTAAAATAATGACAATGAATTGAAAAAACTTTCCGAGAAAATGATCTTTTCCTGTAGTTTATTCTATTAGGTAATCATACTTTTTTTTAAAACAAATGATTTATTATACTTTAATATACAGGGATTTAAATTTCATATTATGCTTATTGTGATATTGTTCATCACATATTTTCTCTCCATTTCTTTATTTGTTTAATTAAATATTCATTTATTTAATTAAATATTCATTTATTTATTATTCTTTTCTGACTTTTATTTTAATTTTTAGTTTCGATTTCTACCTTTAAATTATTTTCTGATTTGGCAGCACGTGCCAGTAAATTAATCATTAATGTGTCATTTNGTTTAATTAAATATTCATTTATTTAATTAAATATTCATTTATTAATTATTCTTTTGTGACTTTTACTTTAATTTTTATTTTAGTTTCGATTTCTACCTTTAAATTATTTTCTGATTTGGCCCTCTTTGCAAGCTATAAGCTATTTTAATGCCTTTGATTCTTTTTTAAGCTCTTTGCCCTTAACCTTCTAGATATGAGAATAACAGAATTATCATTTTAAAATGTTCGAGTTATTTCTTTCTAAAACTCTTTGAATTTTATCGACATATGTGGCTTTGAATTATAGACATTACTTTATAAGATCTCTTTATATTTTATCCTTGAATATGGATTTGATTTTCTCTTCTTAAGATTTAATTAGATCGAATAACACAAAGATTAAGATATTATTTGATGAATATAATTGTTTTAATTATATGATTGAAAACTATATACTACGTAATTTTAATTGTATTAAAATGGAATTCATTTTGAAAATGTTGTGTGAAAAGACATATTTCATTCATAAATCATCTGAATTTCTATGATTTTAATTTTACGAAAGTGAGTACTGGAGTTGAAAAGATTATTTACTTTAAAACAAATTAATATGGAAACTATAATTGTTTTTTGAGAGTCTGTTGATTTGCACCGCACACTGATCTGAATTACGAAACGCAACTAGATTTGTTAGGGGAATAACGACAGCATCGAATTGCCTCTTAGAATTCAATACATTTTTAATATTTATGATTTAAGTGGCACATCACTTGTGTTTTTAATTTATGCTTAGCATCTTATGTTATTTTCAAATGCTTGTTAAACGTCTTTCAAATTTAATACTTATTTTAATCTTTTTTTAGACGACAATGAGTCTAATTAAGAAATATCCTTTGGATAAAGAGTTCTGCTGAGACAATAAATGTTTAAATATTTTAAGGCTTTTCATATATTATGTTATTAACGATTCAACTTGCACGATTAAAGTGTCTTAGTGAAATTCATTAAAATGTCTGTAATTTTTACCCTAACCTCTTCGTTTGTAATGTGCTTTACACATTAGAAATACGATACAATTTACCTCCGCTAAATTGAAAAAATTAACGCCAATATTTTAAAAAGTAATGACCTACGACAATATTTTAAATTTTTATAATATATTTAGTTATTAATATGAATAAAAAAATATTTTGTATATCCATTAACCTTTAGTTAATTCTCATTCAATATCCTCTATTTATGAACCCTTTACTTACTGCGCGTAGTGTGATTAAGTCCGCCATTTTGGTGCACCCGTTATACCAGTCGTAAGCAATAGGCGTCATTGTTTAGTCCTTTGAAAATGACAACTTTAAAAATATTACAATGTAATCGAAGTATAACTAATACTCTGATTAGTTAGCACTAGTCCTATATTAAAGTTCTCAAAGTTTTAAGCAGTCTCAAAGCACTTACCCTTTCCACATACTCCACGGCATTCTTCCAAACTTTCGAAGTTGTTTCCATTCCCACCTTCTCCAGTGTATACAAATCGTGTGCATTCACCTAATGCATTGTTAAAACCGAACCTCTTCAGATTGTCAGAACCAGTTCCGGGTTCAAAAGGTAAGTTGCATACATCTGATCCCCAAGATTTGGAATCTGAAGAGATTTCGAACAAGCGATCATAAGAATGAATACAAGAACAAAATGTTTAATTTATAAAAAATAGAAAAAAAGCAATAAATTTTTCTAAATCAAGAATAAATAACGCGCGATGGATGTTTGGTTCTCAATATAACCATTTGGCTCAATTTTTATACTCAGGAAAGAGATTCAACCAGCTCCATTGCGTAATGAGTTATCTTACGTAATGAAGGAAGTGGCAGTCATAATATCCAAGCTAGAAGCTAAACTATGAGATGTACTGTAGAGATGTCCAAGCTATAAGCTGAACTATATCACTCTAGTGAAATAATTAAATCAATTATCGTTTGCATCATTCTTATTTGTTTGGTTTTCAATATAATCATTTGCCTCCATTTTTATACTCCGGAAAGAGATTCAACCATCTCCATTGCGTAATGAGTTATCTTACGTAATGAAGGAAGTGGCAGTCATAATATCCAAGCTAGAAGCTAAACTATGAGATGTACTGTAGAGATGTCCAAGCTATAAGCTGAACTATATCACTCTAGTGAAATAATTAAATCAATTATCGTTTGCATCATTCTTATTTGTTTGGTTTTCAATATAATCATTCGCCTCCATTTTTATACTCCGGAAAGAGATTCAACCATCTCCATTGCGTAATGAGTTATCTTACGTAATGAAGGAAGTGTCAGTCATAATATCCAAGCTAGAAGCTAAGCTATGAGATGTACTGTAGAGATGTCCAAGCTAGAAGCTGAACAATATCACTCTAGAAAAATAAATAAATCAATTATCGTTTGCATCATTCTTATTAGATGGTTCATAATCCCATTCCAATAGAAACGTATTCTTATTGGTTGCTAACTGTAACTGAGTGATCATTCATAGATTTCTGGTGGGCAGATTAGTGAAGTGACTTCAGCTTAGACATCTCTGTACACAACAGCGGGAAGCGGCTTCTTTAGATGTTGAGTAAAAGTGAGACAAATATTTTCTTTTTCGTTAGTTTTTTAACTCTTAACTAATAGCGTCACAAGAAGAAGAAGAAGAAGAAAAAATAACGCGTATTTTTATCATACATTTGGCTAGATACATTTACATTTGGCTAGATACACCTACATTTGGCTAGATCTACATATACATTTGGCTAGATCTCACAGATATAACATACTTTAGGCCTCATATCCTTTCCTTAGACATGATATCCTTTGAAGCCTCATAATCTTGTGCTTATTTCATCCAAAATACAAAGAAAAATTTTTCTCAAGGGTGATCAATTAGAGTTTCCTGAACGCGATAAATCTTAAATAAAGATGCTAATTAGCTTGTGCTGACGATATTACAAGATAAGAAAATATGTACTTTCTCTGAAAAAAAGTTTCGATGCTTTAGACATTTGGACCCTTGAAATATAGAATTGGCCCCAATTTACAAAATAGGGTCCTAATAGTCAGGAGCATTGAGAAAACATGGGTCCTTAATATTAATTAAATTCGTTTTTAAAAAATTGTAACAAAAAAAATTTACTCATAATTACAATACTTGTAAGGTCTGGCTTCTTAGGACAGGTCGACGTTACACAACGTCAGCTGGAAATCAGCGCTAACACGTGAAGTTACGTGTTACGTAAGGATTTATTTTCGTTGTTTCCCAAACAGAATGTAGCGAACAGTCTGTTTCTATCTCTTTTGGTTTTTAAAATTGAAGGTCATTTTTTGGATTAATTAGTTCATAAGCCTGTGGTGTAAACTTACCTATACAGGCGCTTTTGCATTCGTCATAGGTAACGTAGCTGTTACCATTTTGTCCACATCCTTCAACGCAATCATCTTCGTTTGCATCGTAGTAGTAGGACGCAAATTTTCCTCTGCAAAATCCTGGTTCAGGTAACTCCACACAATTCTTTTCATCTATGTAACAAAATATTTCAAAATTAAATTAAAAGTTAAATTACTTTTGACCTTTTACTCATTTTCGAAATCTTATGAACTATTTTTTACAGTTACAGTTTGTGAATTCCATTCCAATTGTCTTTTATCTAATATTTCAGTTGCATTTTATTTCTTTAAACTGATTAAAAATATACTTTTTGTGAAAAATCAAAGTTTATGGTTTCACACTCTCCGAATTTTTTTATTACCTCATTATATTAATAACTATATAATCATAGGAGTTTAATTACTTCAAAATTGAAACAATGCTTAAATTGCTAAGTAATTTAATTTCAAGAAATTCAGAGAATAGTTCGTTAATAATAACTGCATACAGCAAATCTTAAGTCTACAAATTTCTCTCCGTGTCTTAATTCGGTAATTCTAATAATTTAAGATATTTTATCGATGAATGTGAAACTAATTATATTTTAGGAAATTACATTATTTATTAAAAGAAAAAACTCAGAAAACAATCTAGAAAGTTCTAATAAAAAAATTTAATTTCATGCAACCATTTTGTAGACAAACGAACCTTTTTCAATGCTGGAACACCTGTTTGTCTCTTACTTTTTTTAGTGTTTGATTTTTATATTGTATTTTGAGTTCTTGAAATAATTTATTTGTTTATCTAATATCTATATGCCATAAAATCAACAAAATACTGTAGTTTAAGTACTTTACTTGCGTAAATTTTTATAAACTTACTGCTTAATCATTTTTGATTTACCACTATTTTAGTTCAGATTTCAGAGGTGGAAGATTTAATATTTTCTTTTGAATTTATTTTTTAATTTGATTTTGTTTTTTCATTAGCATACTCATTATCTAATAAACAAGTATGTTTTTGTAAATTGGCTTCCATTGGTGCGAATTAAGTACGTAATCATTCCGTTTTTTTCTTATCTGCCCCACTGCTTTTTTTAATTTTTTATGTAAAAATAGTTTAATTAAAAATAGTTTTTATTTACTTATTAAAGGATCGAATAAAATAAAAGAATGATAGGTAGAAGGAAATAAAAAAATTGAATATTCGAAAACATTCAAAGATTTAAAGAAAAAAACTGTTAATTTTATTCTGAAATTATCAAACCAGTAAGAGTGAAAAGAAAAGAGTATAAGGAAAAAGTACAAAGAAATTCATGATGTAAAAAATAAACTCACGCCTGAAATTGATAATATGTTTATATTTTACATTTAATTCAATTTTGCTAAAAACTTATTAAATTACTTACCGTTGGCTAATGCCCCGATAACTAAACCAACCAGTATGAATAAATGCATTTTCGCCCGATTTCTATGCAGGAAAAAAAGTAAAATCGTTTTATTGCTCTTTAAATATTATGCATCTGTTTTAATTATCACAATCGTAATCTTTTTCATTCACGTTATCTATATAATTGGAAAATCAACACATGTTCCAATACTTCGGTATCAGGGATAACATCTGGTGCATGAAGTATTTGGTAAAAATTTTAAATAAATTAATTCTAAAATGTTGATTTTATTTCACTAAATTCTGAAGGCATAATAATATTTATGCATTTTTCATTAATTTATGCATTACAACAATATATCAGGGAACAGTGTTGTACCTTAAGACACTTTTTGGTCAATTAAACCTAAAGACAACCTTTAAAAACACTAATGTTTTCCTCTACATTTTTCATGTCCCACAGTGGACTTATCTTAAAGACATGGTTCCTAGTAGACCACTGGCTGCTGTCAGTAAGCGAATGGGGGATCACTTCGATTAGAGGACCGAGTGTGAGCGATATCGGTCTCTTTAAACTGAAAAGTGCTCGCCTTCGCGCTCAGGTCATCGGGCTACCGAAGCAGGGGAGCCATCCCCTCTGCAGAGGATCAAAATTGCGATGGCATGTCTCCGGATCATCCTCAGGGATGTTTCCCAGACCGTCGACAATAGCCCATTGAGCAGCTCCAGTGCGACGTAAATAAAGTACCAACCTGTATTTTTCATTAACAATACAATAAGGGGAAAATGGGATAGGACCGGATAGTGGGGTGAGACCAGGGCTAAAGAGAATACAAGGGCTAGTTCACTCCGCTCTTAGAGCTGAAGCTACGATTTCCCTCCTCATGACGTCACTGTGTCTACAGATCTCGGAGATCGCGAGCAAAGATATGATAACTTTGCATCTTTCTCTTGTAAAAATAAGTTAGACTTTTTCTGGCTATTATCCTTCAAACTTTACGTAATTAACACATTATTTCCGTTCATAAACATAGTTCAAAAAAAACTTTCTTGGTTATTATATTAAAAAAATACCATTTTAAACTTATAAAAATGTTTTGCTAGTTGGTGAAAATGACACGATAAATACTTTATTTTAAAAAGTTCAGNTCAATGATCGTAGAAATCTGGTTTTCTTCGGCACATATACTGATATTTTGAGATTGTAAATTAATAAACACATTCAATGATCGTAGAAATCTGGTTTTCTTCGGCACATATACTGATATTTTGAGATTGTAAATTAATAAACACATTCAATGATCGTAGAAATCTGGTTTTCTTCGGCACATATACTGATATTTTGAGATTGTAAATTAATAAACACATTCAATGATCGTAGAAATCTGGTTTTCTTCGGCACATATACTGATATTTTGAGATTGTAAATTAATAAACACATTCAATGATCGTAGAAATCTGGTTTTCTTCGGCACATATACTGATATTTTGAGATTGTAAATTAATAAACACATTCAATGATCGTAGAAATCTGGTTTTCTTCGGCACATATACTGATATTTTGAGATTGTAAATTAATAAACACATTCAATGATCGTAGAAATCTGGTTTTCTTCGGCACATATACTGATATTTTGAGATTGTAAATTAATAAACACATTCAATGATCGTAGAAATCTGGTTTTCTTCGGCACATATACTGATATTTTGAGATTGTAAATTAATAAACACATTCAATGATCGTAGAAATCTGGTTTTCTTCGGCACATATACTGATATTTTGAGATTGTAAATTAATAAACACATTCAATGATCGTAGAAATCTGGTTTTCTTCGGCACATATACTGATATTTTGAGATTGTAAATTAATAAACACATTCAATGATCGTAGAAATCTGTTTTTCTTCGGCACATATACTGATATTTTGAGATTGTAAATTAATAAACACATTCAATGATCGTAGAAATCTGTTTTTCTTCGGCACATATACTGATATTTTGAGATTGTAAATTAATAAACACATTCAATGATCGTAGAAATCTGTTTTTCTTCGGCACATATACTGATATTTTGAGATTGCAAATTAATAAACACATTCATTGATCACTTTCTTAGAAAAAAACAAAAATATACACCGAAATTCTAGAACTGAGTTAATTGCAAAATTTCATACACCAACAATTCTACCATATACATTTTTAAATAGATTTACGCTAAACTTTCTATTATACATATACATTTTTTAAATGCATTTATAGTATTCAACAAGTAAATACTATGACTCAAACCTCATTAGAAGCTAGTGTGAATGAAAAATCATATGAATCCAGTTTATTAAATGTGCCATCATATTCTATTTTTTTTTAAATGAAATATTCGTTGTTTTTCTGTTTAACGTAAAAAAATACTAGCTGAAATAATAGAATACTGGTAAAAAAAATACTGGTAAAAATAAATACTCGCGAAATTACCTATGGTAATGACATTTCCTGCCAAAGAAAATTCCTAAATTTGTTTAATAAACCAAAAATATGCGGTATTTAAACCATTCATTTAGTATTTTTTCCCTTTCATATAGTAGCGATTTGCTGGAAATTCCGATTTTCAAAATTGGAGTTCTTACTACCACGCAGTTAGTAGGAAATACAAGACTGAAAAGCTAATTTTACTAACTAAATGGTTTTTAAGCGATGCTCTAAAACAGCGGTTCCAATTTTTTTTCTATAATGGGACCCTAAAGCATTAAACCTCTTTTGGCGGAACCCCTACTTCATCATCAAACCCAAAAAAAATTTTTACAAAAATTACAACAAATAAAAAGAACACAAAAAGTAAAAATAAGTAAAAATAACATGTAAAAACAGAAAATAAAGTAAAAAGAAAAAACAGTATAAAAAATGGACTATAAAGCGAGTAGCAAAATCAGATCTACTTACATGGACGGGAAATTTTTCAAGAATGATTTAAAAATGCTTTCGCAGAAAGATTGCCAGATTACAAAATAGGAAAACAAAAGCGCAAATTGAGTGTAACTAGAGGGTTTTAAAGTTAGAACGTATTTCAAGATAAAAATGGAAAAAAAAAGTGAAGAAAAAAATTCATATTTTAGTAAAATGTTTTTAATGCAAAAACTGTTTATTTATTTTATTTTATTTTTTAGTTTCGAATTAGATTTAACCCTTTCGAAAAGGACATAAACTGCCCATTTATTTTGGACACTGTAAAAAATTCTAATAATTTTTGCCGCCGTTAAAACATATATTGTTAATATTTCACTTAATATTTTGAAAAATGCAATGATATAACATATCGCTTTATTACAGGTCTGGAAACTGTGGTGAAAGATCTAATGGCTCTTCTTGACTAGAATTTTAGTTGCAATTTTATACTTTATTTCGAATTTTATACTTTAAATTAAACCAGTGAGTTTGAACTAAAATATTCTTGAAAATATTCCTGAAGTTACTCGTTGTTGGGTATTTTTCAAATAAATTTGAAATAAAAAATACTGAGTACGTTAAATATGTTTTTAAGAATTTTGTTGCCTATTACAGTATGCTCTTACATTTAGGTAAAAAGAAATAACAACAACCTGACTACAAATTGAAATCTCAACCATTTTTATTTGAAAAAGTTTTTCGAGGTTGAATACTTGAAATTTATTTTTTCAATTTTTATTTCTCTTATATTAATTATATTTTAACCTTTTTTTTCATTTTGAAATTAAATTTATAGATAAACCAACCTGAATTCATTAATGATTAATCGCTTAGCAGCAGCAAACTATTGGAAAACTTTTCCTTTTAAAGTAGAATAGTATAAACAACTGATTTACATTAACAACCATAATTCAATTGATTGAATGACAATAGTGAAGTGAGAGTTCAATCTCTGGCTTGGACATCTCGATATGCATGAAATTGTTGTATTAAAATTTGATTAAACAAACCTAAAATAGTAAGTAATATAAATCTTCCGTTTCTTTTGAAAATTGAAAAAAAATATTTTATACAGATTCCGAAACCGAACTCTACCACCATTTTGCTAAAAACTGAAGTGTGGAAGAAACGGGATAATATTCCGTCGTAATCCTAGACCATCATCGGGATAGTTAAAAACAAAAAGTTAACTATTAAGTCTCAGCGTCATCATCGTAATCATCATTGCTTCATCTGCGTAACACAGAAGAGACTAGTAATACACTAGCATGTACGATGATACTTAAATACAATCCATTCCCCTTTGACGTCATCAAGACGCTTTTCTAAAAGTTTCTCCTTAGCACTTAGTAAAACAGATCCCTGCGCCCTCTAGCAGCACTTTTAGAAAATATTTAGTTAATACAATAGATTGGAATAGTTGACGTTGTCGTTCTATTGTTTAAAATTTAGTGTCAGTACCATATTTTTGTTTACTTCTGTACAATTGCATTTGTAGTATAAATGAATAATAATTCTTTCAGATTTATTGCTTTAAAGATGAGTTTTGACTCTTCTGTTCAATAAAGATTGGACTGTATGGATTTATTTTAGTGCTTTGAAATTTTTTCACATAGTATTTTTAAGCAGAAATTTTCTAATCAATTCCATACCTTTTATTTTAAATTTTAGTTCTAATATTCATAAAAAAATTTCTGTCATGTTATCTACTCTTATTTAATTCATTCTGGCATATGATAAATTCTACTGTAGACGGAAAAAAACTACACTAACAAATGTTATGTATTTGTTTTTATATTCGCTGAGATCAATAATACATAGATATCTATTGCATTCAACATTGAAATTAAATTAAACAAATTTAAGAAAATTTGTTAGGAATTAAAATATTTAAAATAAATCCGTATCTACTCTACAACATGTACTTTTGTCTTCATTAACACACGACATCAAAAAGAATTAACATCTAAACATGTTGTTCTAAAATAAAACAAATAAAAAATTATTGCTGCAAACTTTGTGAATTTAATTAAAAATAATAGAAGAGAACCATTAACTAATAGACCGTTACATAACACCGAAACCGTCACCATATTGCACATTATAAAACCCATTTCTGTATGCTCTAACATAAGAGTGTAAATTAAACTCTTTATATATTTCTCTGCGATCACTAGTCTCTAGTCTATTGGGAATAAAGTATTGATTTTTTTTTTAAAATATGCATCACTAGTCTATTCTACGCTTGTCAAGAGGACGCAGTTATTACTTCAAGTTCTTACTTACTTCAAGTTTGTCCACAATTACTATTATTAAATTTATTTATCCAAAAAAATATTATTTTGAATATATTTTATAGTACAAATCACATTACCTAATGCAAATCTGAGAAGCTTTTGTTTTTTAAGCTAAAATACCGAAAATAAAGGTTCAAAAAACCAAATAAACGTTATAAAAAACCTCAAAATGAGCCTCTAAAAAATTTAAAGCCACATTTTCAGCAAGAAATGAATAATTTTTTAATTAATTATTTTTACATATTGAAACTTACAAAATCATTTGTCTGACATTTTCAAAAAATGAAGAGATTTCAAGAAACAAAAATCCCAAGTATCAGAAAATGAGACATATTTGAATCTTCCCAATCTGATTTTCTTCAATAATTATTTTTATTTTATTATTTATTTCATTTACATATATTATCTTCATTAACATTATTATTGACATTATTATTTCGTTTATTATTCATTTGGTTTTATTATTTGTTTCCTTCTATTTCGCATCATTGATCTTTCTGGTAGAAGTTTTTCATAAAGTTCAGAGAAAACCTTTGTTTTCTTTTCAATATTCTTTAGATTAACATAAATTTTCTAAAAATGTTAAAAGTCCTCTTTATTACTCTTCTGCATGGTCCCTTTCAATACTAAGCTTTTTGAATCGCTTATTAGTTTCAAGGGAGATTTTTTTTTGAAGAAACTAAGTACTTAGTAATTCATTTAAATCTTTCTGGACATCGAAGATTTCAAACTTATTTGCGGTTATTTATTACACCAAAATAAACAAAAATTAAAACAAAATACATGAAATGAATACATCGTATAAGAAGCCAAAAATAAAAAATACAGCTATAGATACCATAAAGAAACGAAGTTTTCAAATTTCCTGTAACCTAGATAAAATAAACCCCCTCTACGTCATTTCTAGTAAGAAAAGACTGACACATACTCTGTACTTGAAATTTTGTAATGTGCAGCAGTTGTAAAGACCACTTTGTAATCAAAAGCCATGAGGCAAATATTTTTAATTAAGTTTGCAATATGCAATATACTAGATGAAATTCCGATCATTATATCAACAGCTATTCATACTTTTTTTATATATTGCTAGCTCAAAATACTGAAAATAAACTTAACACCTTCTTTCATTCAAAGGAAAATATTTTTTACAATTGAATGTAAATAAGTAGATGGTATGCAAAAGGATCATTAAGAAGCTTCATAAACTGAGCTATAGTCACCTGAATATATCTACAAAATTTTGGAATTTTTATCTTCACATGTACATGGAACGAAAGCGAAATATCGAAAAGAGCAACACATAAACTCAAACCTAATTTACTATAATTCTCTATAATGTACCCGGGATCTTTTTAAACATACCGTCTTCAATTATTTTTCTTATTTAAATGAACTACACCGCATGTAACCAAATCAATTTTTCTATATTAACTTTTTACATACTTTACACACATGGGATTTTTTATTAGATATAGTATTCGGACACCAAATATATGCCAAAAGTATTCGGACACCCAATGTATGCCAAAAGTATTCGGACACCCAATATATGCCAAAAGTATTCGGACACCCAATGGTGCCGACTAAAAGAGTCCGGAGGCATTTAAAATAATGTAGATCCCTTTTTTGCATTGATGACAACCTGCACATATCTGGGGAGACAGTTTTTCATTGGTGACCAAAGATATTGACTTCCAGTCGTCTATCACAAGGCATCCGTAGAGTAGTGAAGATGGTCTATTTGACTGGCTACTAATCTGCGTCTTCTAATCCGCCCAAATAGTGTTCTATGGGATTTATATCGCTAATCTGAGAATGCCAGTCCAGGAAGACCAGTCCAGCCAGAAGGTCAATCCAATCCAGTGAACACCAATTTCATCAAAACATGACTAAGCAAATCTCGATACGCGCGGTTGGAGCAGCTATTCTGCTGAAAAAAAGAAATAATCCTTTCACAAAATATTTCTATTGTGTTGGGAGAGCAGCTTTTGTCCAGAATATCCACATATACTTCAGAGTTCGTGTTTCCTCCATTGCCAGCAAGGGACCTTGGCCGAATCATTTAAAACATCCCTGCAGCATCCAGAAGTACCAGGCCAAATTCACTTATTTTGGTGGTTGTAAAAAAAAAAATTCCCAATAGAGTGTAGAGTTTCCAAGTTATTATAAAACATAGTTTATAAGAAAACTTTAAAATTTCCCGGAAAGTTATTGAAGATGATATAAGAATAAATTCTTTTCGGTTCTTAAAAAAGGCTACTCATAAGAACAGTAGAGAGCAGAACGAATCGATGCATCGTAAAATATTAATTAATTTTAATTATCGTGATTATTATGCTTAATTATATTATTAGTTATATTATTATTATTCATTGTATGTCAATGATACTGTGTTAACCATTGACAAAAATGAATTTTTAATACAATTTCATCGTGAATGCAATTATTTCCCCATAATTTCAAATACGATGTTTTATGTACAATATAATTATCGTGCACGATAATTATATTAACTACGATATTATCTTCATCATTTGCATTTTATGCAAAATAAAATTAGCCAAGGAACTTAAAATTAGAGTGAATAAAATAGAAAATTGAATGAAACAGTAAGTGTAAACTTTTATTTCATTGCACATTTTTTAATCTGGATAACAATGGTCCATTTACGAAGTTATCGTCGTAATCTTCAATAAGTTCCGTGTGAAACGACATAATATTTACACTACATCAGATGCTGATAATCTTTATGCTAAAAAGAAAAAAAAGACATTTATGGTGGAATACAATATATATTAGTATATTAAAAACACTTGCTTCTCAATCCTTCGAGTTTACGTCGACTTCGAGCTTATAAATTATGTAATACTTATGTATAATACTTCCGAGTTTATAAATTACAGAAATATTTGAAAGCTTTCCTGATGTGATATAAAAGCTATCTTAAACATTTTTAAAAACTGCGTCATTTTTACTGCTTTGCACTAGTGAGATTAAAAGCGAATATTCAACTTAAACATCTTTTTATGTGATGTTCCTCAGTTACGCTTTCAAAAATTAAAACTCCACACTTCTCTGGATTAAAAGCTGATTGCTTACAATTTTTCATTAATTATTGCAGGTTCTTACAATTACCGAGTTTCCTATATAATCCTGATCATTTGAAAAAGCTATTCAGGAATGGTGAGACGAATGGAGAAAATGAACTGTTCAGTGTGTTATGCATACAAACAATGAACAAATTTTTTAATTGGCCACAAAACTTGCAAATAGTTGGCGCTGTTTAAACACATGGAGTATAAAACAATATTTTCTGCAACGACTATTCTAGTAGATATATCTTCTTCGGGAGCTCATTTTGTCTGCAGACTGCACCACATGATTGATTCAATGGCAGTAGTTTTGAAAACATTGTTTTAAAGTTTTTCTCAGTTACTGGGGACATCTGTAGACAATATTTGTAACAAATGTGGAAGCTTGGTGAGAATATGTCAATTGCCTTGAAAAGAACGCAGTAAACAGCACCTGAGCATCCTGTTCTATCTTTTCTACTTTCTTTATTTTAAGATCAGATAAGGAGAATCGATAATAAATTCATTTGAGGTTCAATTTAAATTTGAGATTATGTTAAATTTGAGATTTTATGAGGTGCACATGAGGTGGAAATTGAGCTTTATTGATGAGATTAATTTTGGTGTAAAACATAACCTCATTTACTACCTCAGGTGTATTTTTTTTTAAAACCAGTCAATCTCAATGCAGCCTCAAAAACACCGTATTTTATTGCAAAAGTATTAAGGATATCATTATCTTAATGCATATCATTATGTTAATTGAGACGTCATAGATATTTTATGTAATATTGATACATATTTTAACTGACGGTGCTTCTACAATGAATTCATTATAATAAATAAATGCAAATATGGTTAAAAAGTATTATTGATAAGTAAATTTTATGCATACTGCTGCATTTCTTCAAGCACTCTTCTTTTGTATCAAATCTGTTTCCATTGCCCTCGCATCCACCATAGATGAATTCCTTGCATTGTCCGGTTTTGGCATCGTAATGAAAGCTGGGGAAATATCCACGGCACGGTCCAGTATCAGGCTCCATCAGGCAGGAGTTAACTTCTGCAGTAAAAAATGGATCTAAAGATAGTAAAAAAATAAATAAATAAATAAAATTTAAAGAAAAATTTACATGCTTTATACTTGTAACAAAGTTATATATATCATCATGTCGTGAAGAATTATCTGGGCTTTCGAACGGACAAAGAACTTCTATATTTCTAACTATTTTAAAAGTTATTAAACTTTTTTTTAAAAATCTCAATTTAGCGAAATTTTTTGCCCTCGTAAAAATTATCAAAATCACTGCCTTATTCTCAGTTTTTGCATATTTTTATGAGCCCCAATAATGTAGCGTTTGAGTAAAATTTCAAACTTTAAGAAATTAAACCGTAAACACTTTTCATTTTCATAAAACTGTGAATTTTCTCTATACTGATGTCTTGTGCCATTTGCAGAATAAGCATAGAGACCGCTGGCTATACATAAACTTGAGCATGACCTAACAGTCATGAATAAAGGAAATAAAAATAAAAATATGACCACCGAAGCCGACGTCTGCAGAGAGTACCGGCCCCGGTAGCCATAACACAAAACCATTTCTAATTGAGGGAGAAGCAAATGCCTAATTTAACTCCCTCAGTACCCCGATGGTTTTGTATAGAAGTTCAGGAAAAAACATGAAATGCAAATAACCAATTTAGAAAAGAAACTCAAAAAAAAATCATCAGAAAATAAAAACTCACTTAACCAGGTCAAACATCGATTTCACAAGCAAGCCGAATGAAAAGGAAACACTAAAAATTAAAAGAACAACGCCCTCTATTACAATGCTCAGATAGAGAATAAAAGAAGTCAAGAGAAAGAGATACGTAACAAATTAATAGAATGCTTAACTGGGGCTGCTCAGTTAAGACTTGAATTGCGCCCTGTTAAAAGAAAAATATATATAAAAACCTAGAATTCTTCAATCATTTTCTTAATTAAAAAATTAACAGCACAAAAATTAAAAAGAAAATTATTATTTCTCAAATTATTCAAAAAATTATTCACAGCTTCCCGAAAACTTTCAACATTATTGCAAATATTTTTGATCCTAACAAAGTGTGAAAAAACTAAATTTTTACAAATTTTATTACACAAATTAGTATTAAAGTTGCAGAAAAAAATAACTTTAAATTTAAAAGCTTTTCTTTTATCAAAAACAACAATTTTAATAAAACTGTTAACAATATCAATTTTTGAATCTAAGTATTCAACATTTAAACAATCTCATTAGTTTTCTTCAAAACCAAATCTCCAGGATAAATATTATAAATAAAATTATAATTATCACAATTAAACAAAATCAAGTCATCAATATATCTAAAAGCTTTAAATTCATTATGCTCAAGAAATTTGGCTTCAAAAAAACGCAAAAAAATATTGGCAAAAGCACCAGAAAAGGAATTACCTTGTAGAATTCCAATAATTTGTTTATAAAAATCTAAACCATTAAAAAGAACATTCTCAGAAAGATTAAACTTAAATAAATCCAACCAATTAGACTTATCAATTTTCTCATTAAATAGATACCTATTATAAAGGCCGTCACAAAATCTCAATAATCTTTCCATGTGGTATACTTGTATACAAATTTTCGAAATCAAAAGTATTAATGCTAGAAATATCATTATTATTAATATAATCCAAAACTTCAACATTACTATTTAAAGTAATATTTTTCTCTATTTTTTGCATACTGCTGCATTCCTTCAAGCACTCTTCCTTTGTATCAAATCTATTTCCATTGCCCTGGCATCCTCCATAGATGAATTCCGTGCATTGTCCGGTTCTGGCATCGTAATAAAACTTGGGGAAATATCCACGGCACGGTCCAGTATCATGCTCAATCAGGCAGGAGTTAACTTCTGCAGTAAAAAATGGATCTAAAGAAAGTAAAAAAATAAATAAATAAATAAAATTTTTAAAAAAATGCACATGCTTTATACTTGTAACAAATTTTACAAGTTTAAACTATATATATCATCATGTCGTGAAGAATTATCTGGTCTTTCGAACGGACAAAGAANCTTCAACATTACTATTTAAAGCAATATTTTTCTCTATTTTTTGCATACTGCTGCATTTCTTCAAGCACTCTTCCTTTGTATCAAATCTGTTTTCATTGCCATCGCATCCACCATAAATGAATTCAGTGCATTGTCCGGTTTTGGCATCGTAATAAAACTTGGGGAAATATCCACGGCACGGTCCAGTATCATGCTCCATCAGGCAGGAGTTAACGTCTGCAGTAAAAAATGGATCTAAAGAAAGTAAAAAAAAAAGAAAAAAAGAAAATTTTTAAAAAAATGTACATGCTTTATACTTGTAACAAAGTTTACAAGTTTAAACTATATATATCATCATGTCGTGAAGAATTATCTGGTCTTTCGAACGGACAAAGAACTTCTATATTTCTAACTATTTTTAAGAGTTATTAAACTTTTTTTTTTAAAAAATCGCAATTTGGCGACATTTTTACCCTCGTAAAAAATGATCTAGATCACTGCCTTATTCTCAATTTTTGCATATTTTTATGAGCCCCAATAATGTAGCGTTCATATTAAGCTTTCAAACTTTAAAAATTAAACCGTCGACGCTTTTCATTTCCATAAAACTGTAGCTTTTCTCTCTTCTGATGTCTTGTGCCATTTGCAGAATAAGCATAGAGACCGCTGGCTACACATAAACCTGAGCATGACCTAACAGTCATGAATAAAGGAAATAAAAATAAAAAAATGACCACCGAAGCCGACGTCTTCAGGGAGTACCGGTCCCGGTAGCCATAAAACAAAACCATTTCTAATTGAGGGAGAAGCAAATGCCTAAATTAACTCCCTTAGTACTCCGATGGTTTTGTATAGAAGTCCAGGAAAAAACATGACTTACAAATAGCCAATTTAGAAAAGAAACTCAAACAAAATCATCAGAAAATAAAAACTCACTTAACCAGGTCAAACATCGATTTCACAACCAAGCCAAATGAAAAGGAAACACTAAAAACTAAAAGAACAACGCCCTCTATTACAATGCACAGATAGAAAATAAAAGAAGTCAAAAGAAAGAGATGCGTAACAAATTAATAGAATGCTTAACTGGTGCTTCTTAGTTAAGACTTGAATTTCGCCCTGTTAAAAGAAAAAAATATATAAAAACCTAGAATTCTTCAATCATTTTCTAAATTAAAAAACTAACATTACAAAAATTAAAAGGAAAATCAGTCTTACTCAAATTATTCAAAAAATTATTCACAGCTTCTCGAAAACTTTCAACATTATTACAAATATTTTTGATCCTAACCAATTGTGAAAAAACTAAATTTTTAAAAATTTTACTACGCAAATTAGTATTAGAGTTACAGAAAAAAATAACTTTAAATTTAAAAGCTTTTATTTTATAAAAGTCACTAATTTTAAGAAAACCGTTAACAATATCAATTTTAAAATCTAAATATTCAACATTTAAACACTCTCATTATTTTTCTTCAAAACCAAATCTCCAGGAAAAATACTATAAATTAAAATCATAATTATCGCAAATAAACAAAATCAAATCATCAATATATCTAAAAGCTTTCAATTCATTATGGTAAAGAAATTTGGCTTCAAAAAAATGCAAAAAAATATTGGTAAAAGCACCAGAAAGGGAATTACCTTGTAGAATTCCAATAATTTGTTTATAAAAATCTAAACCATTAAAAAGAACATTCTCAAAAAGATTAAACTTAAATAAATCCAACCAATTAGACTTATCAATTTTCTCATTAAATAAATACCTATCATAAATGCCGTCACAAATCTCAATAATCTTTCCATGTGGTATACTTGTATACAAATTTTCGAAATCAAAAGTATTAATGCTGGAAATATCATTATTATTAATATAATCCAAAACTTCAACATTACTATTTAAAGCAATATTTTTCTCTATTTTTTGCATACTGCTGCATTTCTTCAAGCACTCTTCCTTTGTATCAAATCTGTTTTCATTGCCATCGCATCCACCATAAATGAATTCAGTGCATTGTCCGGTTTTGGCATCGTAATAAAACTTGGGGAAATATCCACGGCACGGTCCAGTATCATGCTCCATCAGGCAGGAGTTAACGTCTGCAGTAAAAAATGGATCTAAAGAAAGTAAAAAAAAAAGAAAAAAAGAAAATTTTTAAAAAAATGTACATGCTTTATACTTGTAACAAAGTTTACAAGTTTAAACTATATATATCATCATGTCGTGAAGAATTATCTGGTCTTTCGAACGGACAAAGAACTTCTATATTTCTAACTATTTTTAAGAGTTATTAAACTTTTTTTTAAAAAAATCGCAATTTGGCGACATTTTTACCCTCGTAAAAAATTATCAAAATCACTGCCTTATTCTCATTTTTTGCATATTTTTATGAGCCCCAATAATGTAGCGTTCATATTAAGCTTTCAAACTGTAAAAATTAAACCGTCAACGCTTTTCATTTCCATAAAACTGTGGCTTTTCTCTCTTCTGATGTCTTGTGCCATTTGCAGAATAAGCATAGAGGCCGCTGGCTATACATAAACCTGAGCATGAACTAACAGTCATGAATAAAGGAAATAAAAATAAAAAAATGACCACCGAAGCCGACGTCTTCAGGGAGTACCGGTCCCGGTAGCCATAAAACAAAACCATTTCTAATTGAGGGAGAAGCAAATGCCTAAATTAACTCCCTTAGTACTCCGATGGTTTTGTATAGAAGTCCAGGAAAAAACATGACTTACAAATAGCCAATTTAGAAGAGAAACTCAAACAAAATCATCAGAAAATAAAAACTCACTTAACCAGGTCAAACATCGATTTCACAAGCAAGCCGAATGAAAAGGAAACACTAAAAACTAAAAGAACAACACCCTCTATTACAATGCGCAGATAGAAAATAAAAGAAGTCAAAAGAAAGAGATACGTAACAAATTAATAGAATGCTTAACTGGGGCTGCTCAGTCAAGACTTGAATTGCGCCCTATTAAAAGAAAAAAATAAATAAAAGCCTAGAATTCTTCAATCATTTTCTTAATTAAGAATTTAACATTACAAAAATTAAAAGGAAAATCATTATTACTCAAATTATTCAAAAACTTTTTTCACAGCTTCCCGAAAACTTTCAACATTATTGCAAATATTTTTGATCCTAACCAATTGTGAAAAAACTAAATTTTTAAAAATTTTATTACACAAATTAGTATTAAAGTTTCAGAAAAAAATAACTTTAAATTTAAAAGCTTTTCTTTTATCAAAAACAACAATTTTAATAAAACTGTTAACAATATCAATTTTAAAATCTAAATACTCAACATTTAAACAATCTCATTACTTTTCTTCAAAACCAAATCTCCAGGATAAATACTATAAATAAAATTATTATTATCACAATTAAACAAAATCAAATCATCAATATATCTAAAAGCTTTAAATTCATTATGCTCCAGAAATTTGGCTTAAAAAAAAACCTCAAAAAATATTGGCAAAAGCACCAGAAAAGGAATTACCTTGTGGAATTCCAATAATTTGTTTATAAAAATCTAAACCATTAAAAAGAACATTCTCAGAAAGATTAAACTTAAATAAATCCAACCAATTAGACTTATCAATTTTCTCATTAAATAAATATCTATCATAAAGGCCGTCACAAATCTCAATAATCCTTCCGTGTGGTATACTTGTATACAAATTTTCAAAATCAAAAGTATTAATGCTAGAAATATCATTATTATTAATATAATCCAAAACTTCAACATTACTATTTATAACAATACTTTTCTCTAATTTATGCATACTGCTGCATTTCTTCAAGCACTCTTCCTCTGTATCAAATCTGTTTCCATTGCCCTGACATCCTCCATAGATGAATTCCGTGCATTTTCCGGTTCTGGCATCGTAATAAAACTTAGGGAAATATGCACGGCACGGTCCAGTATCATGCTTCATCAGGCAGGAGTTAACTTCTGCAGTAAAAAAAAAAATAATTTAAAAAATATACTACGGAGACAACTGTTTGCAAATTTCTCCATAAATGAAGTCTAATGGATCTAAAGAAAGAAAAAAAATCATAAATAAATAAAATTTAAAAAAAATTTACATGCTTTATATTTGAAGTAAAGATATAAGTTTAAACTATATATATCATCATGTCGTGAAGAATTATCTGGGCTTTCAAACGGACAAAGAACTTCTATATTTCTAACTATTTTAAAAGTTATTAAATTTTTTTTTAAAAAAATCGCAATTTGGTGATATTTTTCCCCCTCGTAAAAAATTATCAAAATTACTGCCTTATTCTCAGTTTTTGCATATTTTTATGAGCCCCAATAATGTAACGTTTGAGTAAGTTTTCAAACTTTAAAAAACTAGTGGGCTGCGCCCCCTGCTCGCTAACGCTTGCCAACCCTCGAAAATTGCTACGCAATCTTATATGGTTTGCTTCGCAAGTCAAGCTCGCTTCGCCCCCTACTAACTTACGTATATTGCAAATGCACAAAATTCTAAGAATTCAAAACAATCATTCAAATCAATATAACAACTTTTTTTTAAAATAAATTACATCTTTTTAGTAAATACTAAGTACCAGCTCGCACTGACCAGAGTGCTGGTGTAAAATATTCTTAGTGATAGATGGTTCATGGGTTAGAATTTCCTTGCCATTAGACTAATCATGGGAGGTTTTCGCTGTTTTTTTTTCTCTATGTAACGCAACTGTGCATTCATAAAGTTGTACGCGAAGCTAGTTTGTCCTCTGCTTGATCCAGAAGCTCCCTTGTCTTCTTGATTGGATTCAAAATTTACAAGACTATAGAGTTGAATATAAATAATCATTGACTCAAAAATCNATAAAATTATTATTATCACAATTAAACAAAATCAAATCATCAATATATCTAAAAGCTTTAAATTCATTATGCTCAAGAAAATTGGTTTCAGAAAAATGCAAAAAAATATTAGCAAAAGCACCAGAAAAGGAATTACCTTGTGGAATTCCAATAATTTGTTTATAAAATTCTAAACCATTAAAAAGAACATTTTCAAAAAGATTAAGCTTACATAAATCCAACCAATTAGACTTATCAATTTTCTCATTAAATAAATACCTATCATAATCGCGGTCACAAATCTCAATAATCTTTCCATGTGGTATACTTGTATACAAATTTTCGAAATCCAAAGTATTAATGCCGGAAATATCATTATTCTTAATATAATCCAAAACTTCAACATTACTATTTATAGCAATACTTTTCTCTAATTTATTCATACTGCTGCATTTCTTCAAGCACTCTTCCTCTGTATCAAATCTGTTTCCATTGCCCTCGCATCCTCCATAGATGAATTCCGTGCATTTTCCGGTTCTGGCATCGTAATAAAACTTGGGGAAATATGCACGGCACGGTCCAGTATCATGCTTCATCAGGCAGGAGTTAACTTCTGCAGTAAAAAATAATTAATTTAAAAAGTATAGTACGGAGACAACTGTTTGCAAATTTCTCTATAAATAAAGTCTACTGGATCTAAAGAAAGAAAAAATAAATAAATAAATGAAATTTTAAAAAAAATTTACATGCTTTATACTTGAAGCAAAGTTATAAGTTTAAACTATATATATCATCATGTCGTGAAGAATTATCAGGGCTTTCAAACGGACAAAGAACTTCTATATTTCTAACTATTTTAAAAGTTATTAAATTTTTTTTTAAAAAAATCGCGATTTGGTGATATTTTTCCCCCTCGTAAAAAATTATCAAAATCACTGCCTTATTCTCAGTTTTTGCATATTTTTATGAGCCCCAATAATGTAACGTTTGAGTAAGTTTTCAAACTTTAAAAAACTAGTGGGCTGCTCGCTAAAGCTTGCCAACCCTCGAAAATTGCTACGCAATCTTATATGGTTTGCTTCGCAAGTCAAGCTCGCTTCGCTCCCTACTAACTTACGTATATTGCAAATGCACAAAATTCTAAGAATTCAAAACAATCATTCAAATCAATATAACAACTTTTTTTTAAAATAAATTACATCTTTTTAGTAAATACTAAGTACCAGCTCGCACTGACCAGAGTGCTGGTGTAAAATATTCTTAGTGATAGATGGTTCATGGGTTAGAATTTCCTTGCCATTAGACTAATCATGGGAGGTTTTCGCTGTTTTTTTTTCTCTATGTAACGCAACTGTGCATTCATAAAGTTGTACGCGAAGCTAGTTTGTCCTCTGCTTGATCCAGAAGCTCCCTTGTCTTCTTGATTGGATTCAAAATTTACAAGACTATAGAGTTGAATATAAATAATCATTAACTCAAAATTCTGTCTACCTTTCAATGCCGGTTGTACAATACAAAATAAAATATTTAAGAAAAAGTCATATTAACGGCAATTTCCATCACCATTCGAAATTTTAATTTTTAATATGTAGTGGTGCCGAGTGGTTAGCGTGTCTGACTGCGGAGCCATTGGCAGCTGGTTCGAATCCTGTTCGAATCCAGAGCATAGATGTTTCTTTCTCTCTCTGTCCTACGTCCTTTCACCTTTGTGTGAATGTGTGAATGCGACCCGCTCTATAAACGGGTTTGTGGTTGTCTGACGTGGGCGACGCTGCTCCACCGCCGTGGCTTTGCCACAGGTGCCCACTGGGTAACGAGAATAGAGTAGCAGTTCTGGCATTTCTGTGACCAATGAGACAAACCGTCATTTAAAAAAAAAATATGTAGTGGTACACCGAGATTATAGCTTAAAGCTGTTTCATTCATTTTTCTACTCTATATTGTGTTGATATTCGTTTTTTTTTCTCCCATTTTAGAGGTTATTATAACTCAATTTTGGAAAAAGAGTCTACTACATTATGGCAAGGGTGGTTATTATAAGACACCCTGTTTAAAAATATGTATATAATAGTAAATCTAATTACCAGCAGCTCTATTTGGGCAGTTTTCAGGGAGGACACATTGTCCATCATCGGTTCTGACGTATCCCATCTTGCAGTGGCATCCATTGACACACATCTTGTTGCATATTTTGGGTGGATTGTCATAATTTTTACAAGTAAGAGGACATGCAGTTCCACAAGTTTTGTATTCTTGATTTTTGCCACAAACAGCTGAAAACAATGCTTAAATTTATATTGAAGTTTCATTTTAAACTAAATGTATTGATGAACTCATAAATAATTTTATCAAAAAGATTCAAATAGTTTAAAAGTTAAAGATTGCTTTGAAGTATCTATGCAGGAACTTTTTAACAACTCTCAAGCATAAATAGTTATTTTAAAAATATCTTATTCTATACTTAATGAAAAAAATAAACACTTCAAACTACAAAAACTTTTTAAAAGGCTAATTGTATGGCTGTTGTAATTTAATCTTATGTTAATTTAATCTTATTTTAATTTAATCTTATCCTAATTTAATCTTATCTTAGTTTAATATTATTTTAATTTAATATTATCTTAATTTAATCTTATCTTAATTTGATCATATTTAATTAATTTATTTCTTAATTTAATCTCATAACACAAAATACAAATTTATTTTTACTTTAACTAACAATTATAAAACTGATACAAATTTAAAAATGTTTGTTTCTCAATTAAAAAAAAATTTCAGTTTTAAAATACGCAATTAGAACTTTGTTGTAATCGGAGCATCATGCATTGTAAAACAATTCGGATAAAATTTCGGATAAAAGTTCTGGTATTTTTTCCATAAATCTATTCTGGTTTCATCCATAAAATCTATTTTTTCCATAAAATGTTATACAGTCATTTTTAAAGTAATATATATTTAATTATAATGATTCGGTGTTTTTATTGTAATTATTACTGTAAAAATTACGGTATATCAGATATTTTATTCCGTAATATTTCACGGTAAAAATAGATTTTACGTTAAAAAGTAATATCACCCCATACTTTTTACCGTAATATGTTCCAGAATTTTTTATAGTGTATTGCCATCAAAGGCTTGATTGAGTATAATTCTTAATTTTAAAAGAAAATATTCCGAAGAAACATATTTTAAATTAGCTAACACCAATTGACCAAAATAGATTGGACTTTTTCCCACGTTTTCTAATAAAGAATGAAACAGACAGCTCTGTTGAAAGCTATTTGTTTTAAAAAATTCATCGGGGAAATGCTTTAATAAAAAGTCACAAATCGTATCTCACTCACAGTTTCTCTTCCTTCTTTTCCTTTCTTTTGATTTTATTATTACTTTTTTAATTAACGTGAATTTATTGGGGGTATTTTAGTTAAATAAAGAAATTATAAAGACTTTATTTATTGGAGTAAAAATTTTTTTGGAGTAAAAAAATTTAAAACTTTTAACTATAAGACATTGTATCTCATTAATAAATCTTATCAAAAAGGAATATAAGAATTCCATACTGCAAATAAACAATTCGGCTCTTTGGAAACAGCAGCTGTCGTTCTAAAATAAGCCGGGCTAATTGGATAACTTATTCAGTACTTTCTAATTAACCTCTCACTTTTTCGGTTTGTTTCAGTTGATCAACATATTTTCAGGCTAATTTGAAAATATAACTTTTATTGCTTGATTAGTCTGCTTTCATTGAGGTTGCAATAAGACCAGAATTATTAAAACTTATTGAAGGAATATTGCATAAATCCCAATCAAAATTCATTCTAATTGAGTAATTTTGATCTCATTTCTTAATTAATTTAGATGCATATTGTAATAAGCCTAAATCATATTAGAAAGGTTTAAAAATAGTACTGAAGATTTTTTCACTACTGGAAGTGATATTTGCATGGACCCGAATTTTTCTATGAGCTTGTAACAACAATACGATAAACAAAAAAATTTCCACAAGACTCGTGAGTAAATGACTTCAATAAAAGAGGAACTGAGCACATACCATTGCGAATGCTGCATTCATTTGGTCTTACACATTGTCCATACTTGATTTCAACGTATCCTTCGTCACAGCGACATCCTGGAATGCACGCAAAACTGCAAGCTCTGGTTGGATTCAAATAATTCTCGCATGTGATGGGGCATTGTTTTCCACAGATATAATAATGTGAGTTGGCTGGACAATCTGGAAAAGTAAACATTGTGCATGCAATTTTACAGTAAAAAAATGGATACTCTAACATCATGAGACTTTTTTCGTTTTTGACGAAACCTTTTCCCTTGTGGTACACTCTCAAAGCAAAAATTTGGTCAAGATAAAGAATTCCTCGAGAAACGAATTTCGTCCAAAGTTAAGAAATATTTCGTCATTCAATTTATTTCAAAAAATAATTAACATTGTGTCTCATGGTATCTAACAGGCGGTATTTTGGATCACTTTTTCATGGGCATCATATGGGTAGATCAACAACGCAAGGACAGATGAATTATATCCATACCCGAACTAATTGGAAAATATAATTTTAACTGCTTGATAAGTCTGATTTCACTGCGGCTGCAATAAGACCAGAATTATTAAAACTTATTAGAGGAATATTGCATAAATCTCAATAAAAATTAATTCTAATTAAATACTTTGATCTCATTTCTTGATAAATTTAAACGCAGATTGTAATAAGCCTAAATCATATATAGGTTTAAAAATAGTACTGAAAGGTTTAAAAATAGCACTGAAGATTTTTTCACTAATAGAAGTAATAATTGCATAGAGCTGAATTTTTCTATAAGCTTGCAACAACAATACGATAAACAAAAAAATTACCACAAGACTCGTGAGTAAATGACTTCAATAAAAGAGGAACTGAACACATACCATTGCGAATGCTGCATTCATTTGGTCTTACACATTGTCCATACTTGGTTTTGACGTATCCTACGTCACAGTGACATCCTGGATTGCACATAAAAACACAAGCTTTGGGAGGATTCAAGTAATTTTCGCATGTGATGGGGCATTTTGTTCCACAGCTATAATAATGAGAGTTGACAGGACAATCTGAAAAAAAAAAACATTGTGCATGCAATTTCACAGTAAAAAATGGATACTCTAGCATCATAAAAATTTTTTCGTTTTTGGCGAAACCTTTTCCCTTGTGGTACACGATCAAAGCAAAAATATGGTCAAAAGGACGAATTCTTCGCGAAACGAATTTCGTCAAAAGTAAAGAAATATTTCGTCATTCAATTTATTTCGAAAAATAATTAACATTGTGTCTCAAGGTATCTAACAGGCGTTATTGTGGATCACTTTTTCATGGGCACCATATGGGTAGATCAACAACGCAGGGACAGATGAATTACATCCATGCCCGAAACGGGTCTGGAACTCCTTGACCACCATACAGCCGCTCGGCTCGTTTCGTTATTCTAGTTCCGATCGTTTAGTCTTCATTTTCGCTCATAGTCTCTGTTAATACATTACAATGAAGTTCCGAGTTGAGGTAACATTTTCGTCATGTATATGACATTTTGCATTTGGTCTCGTAATTTCGTGACTAAATGATTCCGAAAGTTATCGAAATGGAATTCAAGAATTGCTGAATCGTCAAAAAGGAGAATTTTATCTCTGAGGGTGTAAACAAATGGCTATTCATTCCATTGGCCTAACCTAACTGAGTATTGAACACAGACAGAAAACAAATGACATATATAAAATAAAATAAATGATATTTATTAGAAAACTTAATTAAATTTGCTTTATGCATTATTTCCTCATTGACCACTTTTAATTTTCAATTTAGAAAGCTTGTCACAAATAAAATTATAAAAGTATATATATTAATATTTAAGTTAAAAAATACTAAGATTTTGTGGAAATCTAAAGATTGGGGGAAGATAGAAGAATAAGAACACAAACCTGTTCTATTGTAGGAGAGAAAGGGAAGGAGTTGAAAAAATATAATTGGAAACATCTTTAAGTATCATCACAGTTGATGAACATCAGAGTTTTTGACAGAAATGTACAATTTCACGGCATAATATAAAGGTTCTGAACACCTGATTCACAAGATTTAAAAAAAAAAAGAAATTTGAGTTTAATTGTTTTTAATTGCATGCAAATTCTTTTTAATTCTGTTTAGACAAGTTTTTTTAATTGTGTGCAAATCAAGGTGCATTTATCTATTTGCAAAAAAAGTTAAAGTTGAAAATAATATAATTACTTTATTGTTTTATCGCAGTAGATGGATANTAAAGAAATATTTCGCCATTCTATTTATTTCGAAAAATAAATAATATTGTGTCTCAAGGTATCTAACAGGCAGTATTGTGGATCACTTTTTCGTGGTCACCATATGGGTAGATCAAACAACGCAAGGACAGATGAATTACATCCATGCCCGAAACGGGACTGGAACTCCATGTCCACCATACGGACGGTCGGCTCGTTTCGTTATTCTAGTTCTGATCGTTTAGTCTTCATTTTCGCTCATAGTCTCTGTTAATGCATTACAATGAAGTTCCAAGTTGAGGTAACATTTTCGTCATGTATATGACATTTTCCATTTGGTCTCGTAATTTCGTGACTAAATGATTCCCAAAGTTATCGAAATGGAATTCAAGAATTGCTGAATCGTCAAAAAGGAGAATTTTATCTCTGAGGGTGTAAACAGATGGCTATAAACTCCACTGTTCTAACCTAACTAAGTATAACACTCACCTATATAACAGGCGCACTAACCTAACTAAGTATTGAACACAGACAGAAAACAAATGACCTGTATAAAATAAAATAAAAGATATTTATTAGAAAACTTAATTAAATTTGCTTTATGCATTGTTTTCTCACTGACCACTTTTAAAATTTAATTTAGAATGCTTGTCACAAATAAAATTATAAAAGTATATAAATTAATATTTAAGTTAAAAAAGACTAAGACTTTGTGGAAATCTAAAGATTGGGGGAAGATAGAACTATAAGAACACAAACCTGTTCTATTGTAGGAGAAAAAGGGAAGGAGTTGAAAAAATATAATTGGAAACATCTTTAAGTATCATCACAGTTGATGAACATCAGGGCTTTTGACAGAAATGTACAATTTCACGGCATAATATAAAGGTTCTGAACACCTGATTCACAAGATTTTAAAAAAAAATAGAAATTTGAGTTTAATTGTTTTTAATTGCATGCAAATTCTTTTTAATTCTGTTTTGACAAGTTTTTCTAATTGTTTGCAAATCAAGGTACATTAATCCATTTGCAAAAAAAGTTAAAGTTGAAAATAATATAATTACTTTATTGTTTTATCGCAGTAGATGGATATTAATCATTTATACGAAATGTTCAAGTTGCCTTTCATTGTTTTAAGATTTGAAATCCAACTAAGAAATAAAATTTTTAAAAAAACAATTCAGGTATATGTAGAGATTTTTTTCTGTCATATCACAGTTTATGAACAATAGGTCAATTAGAGAAACGTTTAAGTTCACATCCATAGTTTTAGGAATTTTAAACCAATTTAATAAACTAAATAAAAATATTCTAGACAAATATGAGGTTTTTTTAAAATTTTATCGAAGTTGATGAACATTAGGCTGTTTGGAGAAATTTTAAAGTTCCCTTCCATAATCTTAGAATTTAAACTTTACCAAGAAATTAAATAGAAAATCTATATGAGTTTTTTACCCTTTTTATCAGATTTAAACATTATATATCTGTGGAGGTTGACGTCAGGTATAGCTGAAATAACTACGCTTTTGTTATTAATAAATTTAATAAAAAACATAACAATAGATATGAAACAACGGCTGCGTTTGAGCGTTTTCGCTGAAGTGTTACAAAAGTGGGGTGGCGCTGCTGTAGTGGAGGTTGGATTCCCTCATTGGCCATCCGACAAGAAGCACCTGCCCTCAGGTGGGCATATGAAAAAAAATTCAAAAAATTCTTACATAATAGCTAAATATCATTTTACATTCTAAAATACTTATACATCATCTGAAAAAAATTTCAAAAAACATAATAATAATCAAAATATTAAAGAAATAATTTTCAAAATAAAAATAATAAATCTCTGGGAAAAACTAAAAGTGTTCTTGTGGCGTAACTACCGCTACAAATATTAATTACCAAATCAATAGTATATAAGAGATGTTAACTTGATTCTATCATGAGGTACCTTTTGATAGATGAAGGTTGACATACTCTAAGATTAAGATTAATGAGGGGAGTTTAATCTTAGACTGTGGCGTAACTACCACTACAAATATTAATTACCAAATCAATAGTATATAAGAGATGTTAACTTGATTCTATCATGAGGTACCTTTTGATAGATGAAGGTTGACATAGTCTAAGATTAAACTCCCCCTCATTCTAAAGAGTTCTGAAGAAAATGTAATTTTAAGTATTATCATCAAACCAATGTTTGATGTATTCTGCGCATGTACTGGTCTTTGAAGGTCCATCAAAAAAAGCACATTTTTCGACATCAAAAGTATCATAAGGTTTAATTTTTGTTATCGTATAAGTCCTATGTATTTCGGTTTTAGTTTCAATCCTGGTCCAAATTGTGTACAAAAGTTCTGCTGATAATTTGGAGATTACAGAAATTATTGTAGATTTTCTATTTGTCCATTTGCGCTCGGTAAACCAGTACTTACAGAGAAGTGACTCCAATTTATAAATAACTTCAATAGCATCTGTAGATTTAGTTGGGTATAACCAGCAAAACTTTGTCATAGCGTCTATAACTGCAAATATGTATTTATAATTCTTGTTTGTGGTAGGCAATGGTCCTAAATGATCAATGTGATAAGTGTGCAGAGGAATGGATTCTTTTTCAATCGGATGTAATAATCCTTCTTTTTTTCCACACTTTCGATTTATTAAAATGCAAGGAACACAGTTTTTAATAATACGGTCTATTTTTTTATTTCACTTTAGGGATATGGAATTGATGTTTCAATGATTCTTCAGTACGCTTAGAGGTATAATGTCCGCGATCATGAGCATTTCGTATAATATCATTCTGGATGCTTTCAGGAACGACAAGAAGTTATTCACCATCAACAAATTTGTATAGTATGCCAGATTTAAGAACAAAAGTCATCATAGGGTTTTGTTTTCAAAAGTTCTTTAACCGTTTGGATTTCACTATCTTCTTCCGGAACTTTTCTAATTTTCGTAATGAAACTATCCTGTACTATCATAATGGGATATCTACTTAGCGCGTCAACGTGATACATTTTAGAACCGGAACGGTGTTCAATGATATAATCGAAATCCTGTAGCAATAATGCCCAGCGCGCTATGCGAGTACACAAATCATTTTTATTTAATGTCATCGCAAACACATTACAATCGCTCACAATTTGAAAATGTTTTCCTAGCAAGTCAACTCCAAATTTTTTTTAAAGCCTGAACAATAGCTAAGACTTCGAGCTCATAACTACTGTATTTCGCTTCGGCATCAGACGTTTTCTTACTCATAAAGTATACCGGGTGAAACGCATTATCTTCTACCGATTGAAATACGTCCATAACCATGAATACTTGCGTTGCAATGTATTTTAGTATCCGCGTTTTGATTGTAAATGCTAAGAACGGGTGGAGAAGACAAATTATGTTTTAAATTTCTAAATGCTTGTATTTCATTCTCGGTAAATTTAAATTCGCGATTTTTCTTCAAAAATTCAGTTAAAGGGTGCGCAATAATGGAGAAATTTAATAAGAATTTTCAAAAATGGCTAGCTAGACCAAGAAATGATCGTAAATCCTTTCTATTTTTGGGTTCAGGAAAATTAAGTACAGCCTTAATTTTTTGTGGTGACAGGTACATTTTACCATTTTCAATTACATGTCCGAGAAATTCTATTTTTCTAGTTAAAAATGTAAATTTTGAAAAATTTATCTCTAACACGTAAGCAGAAGCGAGTGAAAATACCAAGAAATGATCGTAAATCCTTTCTATTTTTGGGTTCAGGAAAATTAAGTACAGCCTTAATTTTTTGAGATGACAGGTGCATTTTACCATTTTCAATTACATGTCCGAGAAATTCTATTTTTCCAGTTAAACATGTAAATTTTGAAAATTTTAACTCTAACACGTAAGCAGAAGCGAGTGAAAATACCGATGCAAGCCTTTCAAGACCTTCCTCTTCATCTTTCGATGGTATAGTCATATCATCCATAAAAATAATAATAGGACCTTTAATTATCAAATCCTTAAAAATAGTGTTAATATAACGCTGAAAAGCTGCGGGTGATTTGCAAAGGCCAAATGATCCTCGTAAAAATTGAAATTGACCATTATGAGTGACGAAAGACGTATATTTACGACTGTTCGGTTCTATTTCCAAATGAAAAATGCATTACGCAAATCAATTTTGTTAAACGTAGTTGCTCCTTGAAGATTTTCTAATATATCGTCAATAAGTGGTAAATAGTGGTTTAACTACATTTTTATTTAACGCTTTATATTCAATACAAACTCTTGGGGTTCCTTCTTTCTTTTTTACCATTATAACCTGACTGGAATATTTGGAAGAACATGGTTCAACTATACCGTCAGCCAACCATTTTGTCACTTGGACATCAACAATTTTACGTTCTGTAAAAGGTAGTCGACGTGGTCTACGAGTTATTGGAGCTTCATTTTTTAAATTTATAGACATTTGAATTTTGCAAGTTTTAGTTTTGGTTGGTTTATAATTTGAAACCATATTTTGAAGAGTTTCTTTTTGTGTTTGACTAATGCGAGATCCAATTTCTAATTCGAAATCATTTTTAATGGAAATATTTGAAATAGAGAATTGTTCAACGGGTTTCGTTCCACTATTTTCTATCTTTGTTAAAGTGATACCAGCGGTATTAATTTTTATTTCTGCCTGTGCTAAAATATCCATGCCAATTATAGCATCATATGATATAATATTATCTCTAACTATACAAAAAATTTTTTTAAATTCTTGATCATCTATTACAAATTCATGAGTACAACTACCTATTACTTATATTGTCATTCGAAAAATTATATTTATTAGAAAGACTATGTATTTCTTTCATCTACATTGCACTTGAAATAAGTTCAAAAGAGCATGCGAAATATAAAATAAATAATTGATTATTAATTGGATCTAGCTGCATTTAAAGGTTCCTGGTTCAAACAAATGGCTTAACTCTCGAAACCCTTTTAAGTCTTTCACAAAGTTCTGGGGTTTCGGGGAACATCATTTAGGAACCGCTGCTCCAAGGTATCGTGATAAAATTATTAAATTTAACCACATTCCCTAAATGCAATCGCACATTATAAGACTTATATTTTACAGTTAATAATACCGAAATCATTAAATCGGTAATAATAACAGAACTTTTCCGTGCCCGCAACACAATAAATTTACCCTATTTTGATAGTTTTGACCATACTGTGCCTCTCAGTGCATGAAAAACTGATTTAATTTGAGGAGAAAGTGTGATTTTTACTTGCAGGACCGTTATGAGGTTAAAGACGAATAATTGCTTCCACCAACTATAGCATTCATAGTTTTTTAGCATTAAATTTAATAATTAAAAGAAGAAAACATGAAACAGGTTTTAATATGATTTAATTAGATTCTTTGGATATGGATAATTACAGTATTAGTCATGACGGTGGCATCACCTTTTGAGGAAGTCTTTAAATCACATCTCGCGTAACAGCACAATCTTTACACTATTTCAGACATATCTTCATTCTGGAATAAGAAATATATAAATATATCTAATATTTGGTTATAGATTCAACATAATTTATACGTGCATTTTTTTTAATATTATATCAGTATTGGCTCTCATCGAAACCGTTTGCGTTTTTCCTCTTGTAAGTTCTGAATTTTTAAACTGATTCTGATTTTCATAAAACATCATAAAAAGTCAGAACAGAAATTCTGAACAACTGCAAAACAAAACCAGAAGGTCATGATGAAAGAGGCGTTGCCAACATACTCAATAACAATTAACCTCTTTATTTACACATAAAGTTTCTTTACACTTAATACGCATGAGGTATGCATACATCTTTCTTTCTTTGCATACACTTTCTTCTAAGTCTTCCTTTTTGTTAAGGAACAAACTACAACCTGTCTAACAGAAGAACTCTCCTCGCCAGCTATCTGGAGCACAATCTCTAAATATGATTACGAGGTTAAACTCTTTCCAGAAGGAGTGCGAGCTAAAACATTTAGGACAACTATTGACTCGGACCAAACAAAGTAATCTCCCTTCTTTGAAATGTCCATAGCAGTAGACAACCACAAACTCTATGTGGTAGGAGGAGTTAGACCAGCAGTATTCCACAAAACTAAACAGGCATCAATGGGATTCAAACGTGAAACACCGGATTCCATTAAGCTTTAAATTTCTCTCAATATTGAGAAATCTTAAGGGTTGCCAACAATACCACTGTTTGACCTGTTCAACTAATCATTACATTTTGTTTTCTGCAGCAAAAAAAATTATTAGATTTAGACACTTGAAACTGCAGTGGAGAGTAGAAAAATTTAGAAATTTTGAGGGAGTACAATGGAATAAGAAAAATTTACATTTGATTCTTAGTTCGAGATTTATAAAGTGTCAAACTTTCAAAATTGCCGTAAAGAAATATTGATTAATCTACTGTCCGCTGAAATGCAACTATAGATTTAATACTTGTAATGCTAAATTAGCCGTTTTCAATTATAAACTTCACACAAGTTTTTCCTTCAATTGAAATTCTAATTTGTTTGAAAGTTAATGCATTTTTAGGATATAGTATATTGATTTTTTGTTCGCCATACATTTCATTCCTATAATTTCGCAGCATCTAACAGGAAACCTTTTAATATTTCATTGATTTAGTATGACCTTCTTTTAAAGGACACTGTATTATCTGTACATACATTTTTTCATGTCGCTCATGGACTGCAATAGGGGCACAACTCAAAAAACACGCGTTTTGGACTAAGAACATATGTAAATATGAAAATACACATTCTTTCAGCAGCAATACTTGCACAACTCATAATTCAACTTGAAGGTAATCTTCATTTAGGCAAACTAAAGCACTTCTTATGCATTTTGCTTAATAATGAAAACATTAAATCTACTTATCTCAAAACTTGATTTTTTGAGTTGCCCCGCTATTACAGCCCATGAGCGATATATTTCTTACAGATCTGTTATTTTTACTGAATCAATTTTATCAACCATTTTAAATTATAAAAATTAGGTCACAGAATCAGCTTTATCAACTATTTAAGTTTAGGTTGGATGTGAGAACTTTAAATTAATCTAATTTTTAAACCATAATTCAGGCTAATAAAGTCAAAAATAAATCGAATTTAAACTATTCATTTGGTAATTTCTCCGTTCCTGTGGTAACGGTTTGCTGGAAATCCTGGTTTTCAAAAATACAATTCTTATTACTACACAGTTAATAAAAAAATGCAAAATTTAAAGTAAATGTAACCTAATAAGTGCTTTATGCTATTCTCTAAGGTTTCATGATAAAATTACTAAATTTTATCACATATTATGAGTCCATATTGCAATGTTAATTTTACCAAACTCATTACCAAAGCACTTCGCTAAAAATTACTGAGCTTTATGGTGCTTCCTTAAACCAAAAACACGGTAAACTTTAACATATTCTGACAGTTTTGACTATTCATTTTTCTCAGTGCATGAAAAACCGAATTAGTTTGGGGAGAAACTACAACTTTTACTTGCAGAACCGTCATAGGATAAAAGACAAAAGAAATTCATATTGTTTTATCACTTAATTTAATTATTTAAAGAGAATGTAAAACATCAGGATAATTATTTTTAATATGATTTAACTAGATTCTTTAGATATAAATAATTATTGTAGAGTCTTGAAAATGTCGTCAGCTTTTGTGGAAGTCTTTAAAGCCCATTCATTACAGCGCAATGTTTGCATTATTTCAGACATATCGTCATTCTGAAGTAAAAAATGTAGATATGCATGTATTATTTGTTGTTAGATTCGCCATAATTTTATATTTATAAAAATTCTTGTTATCAAATTCCAGAAAATACCCAGTTTCTAATAATGGCTTTTTAGGATTCGTTAATAATAATTATTAGTTACAACAGTTTTTGCAGCTAAATACTCTTTTATGGATTCTTTTATGTGTATTATTTAAATTTATCTCAAAAAAAATTCCTCTTAAGAATAAATAAAAGCATTTATTGACTCCAATAAGACATATTTATAAAACATTACAGATTAGGAATGAATCTAATTACGGGATCTATTTTAACAGCTTTCGGGACGAACACATCTTCCGTCGTTGGTTCGGACGTATCCCTTCTTGCATTGACATCCAATGATGCACATCTTATTGCACATTTTGGGTGGATTCTCGTAATTATCACAAGTAAGAGGACAAGCTGTTCCACAAGTTTGGTACTCTTGGTTTTCACCACAGACAGCTGAAAACAATACTTAATTTAATATCGGAAATCTTTTGAACATACCTAAATTACAATACAACACTTTTACTAAAAAATATTCAAATATAAATCAATCGTAATTTATGGATTTATTACGATTTACTGAAAACTGTTTATACGCTTTCCAGTAATAATGAGTAATTTGAAAACCTAAGATATAAATGCTAGTCGCAGCATAAGCATTAATTGCTGATAGGGTAAATTTAATATGAAGTAGCATTGTAATATAATACTAGCCGTAGCATAAATATTAATTGCTGATGGGGTAGATTTAATATAAAGTAGCATTGTAAATATTATAAAATCCTAACCTATAAGCATATATTAAACCTAACCTTTAGTATGTAACAGTATGCAGCGACTGTCTTGAAAACTATTTCAACACAGGTGCTTGTCATTTTTTCTATTCTGTATTTTGCTATTCAATATTCGTTTGTTTTCCTCATTACACAGTTTTTAAAAATTCAATTCTAAAAAGGGATTCTGAAACCCCATTGTATGGTTGGAGATCATGGCATATCCTGTACAAAAAAAAATTCCTATATAACAGCAACTCTATTTACCAGCAGCTCGATTTGGGCAGTTTTCAGGGAGAACACATCGTCCATCCTTGGTCCGGACATATCCTTTCTTGCATTGGCATCCAATGAGACACATGGCGTTGCATATTTTGGGTGGATTGTCATAATTGTCGCAAGTAAGGGGACAAGCTGTTCCACAAGTTTGGTATTCTTGATTTTCATCACAAATAGCTAAAACATGCACAAATTAAAATTGTATGGGAGGAGGAAATATTTTACATTCTTTTGGAGCTTTAATCATAAACTAAATTCAAATAACTTCAAAATTAGTAATCATTTGAATTCTATTAATTTATTTCTAAATTAACAATAATTTGAATTAGACTAACTTCAAAATTAACAGTACTTTGAATTCAAACAACATTAAAATTAACAATACTTTTAATTCAAATAAATTCATATCGAAGGTATACCATTGCTGCATTCATCTGGTTGTACACATTGTCCATCCTTGCTTTTGACGTATCCTTCGTCACAGTGACATCCTGGTTTGCACATTAAGACACAAAATTTGGGAGGATTCAAATGATTCTCACATGTGACAGGGCATGCTGTTCCACATTTATCGTAATGCGAATTAGCAGGGCAATCTGCAAAATAAACGGAGTGAGAAGATACATTTAAAAAATAAATCAGTAAAATTATGAGCTTGAAGCAGCATAGTAATAAGCTTCAAGTTTTCTAAAGGTTAAAATTTTCTCAAACTGTTCCTTTTCATTGTTTCCAGGTTGATACTGTGCGAGTTCCCTGAATTTCCATCAAATAACATCACAATACATAGAAAAATGTCTTGATTACATGGAAATAGGATCGATTATTTTCCAAAAACTCTCTTCAGAACAATTAAAAATGTAGCTTGTCATTATAGTGCCCCAAGTTATTTAATTATAAAACTTAATCATTTTCTTAAAGCTAAGTCTCTTGTGCAGTTTAAAATTATACATGGTTCTTTGTAGTCTAATATTATTTATTACTCTAGTATTTTTAAATTATACATAGTTAAATATTATATATAATAATCTAAAATTATTTTAGTACTTTCCAATGTTTATGCCATTGTACAAAGGCACGTGTATATGGGTAATACTTTAAGACGATTTGATTTGTGCAAAAGAAGGAAACTATTTCGAAAGATTTCATCTTAACAGGCAAAATGGTGTATTAAAAACGAGAAAAAATAATGTATTGTAAAAAAGTATGAAAATTATTCTTGCTATCAAGAACTTATGCTGTTTTCTTAAAATACGTATTTTTAAAAGAAGAAATAGTAAAATTAGGGATAATCCATACTTGACCATTACTTTATTAAAGTATTAAATAAATAAATACTTATAAATACTAAATATTAATAAATAAAAAGTATAAATAAATAATAAATAGTAATACATAATAAAAATTATGCATATTAATAAATATATAAATAATAAATACATAATTGTTAATTCATAACTTGCATTATATAGCAATTTTTACACGGTAAGGCTAAAGCCTCAGCAACAAAGCACAAAATCAAAAACTGCTGCAACTTTGACCATTACTCAATTAAAGTATTAAATAAATAAATACTCATAATTATTAAATATTAATAATATATATAAATACATAAATAATAAATANATTTAAATAATAAATATATAAATAATAAATATATAAATAATAAATATATAAATAATAAATATATAAATGCTAATTCATATCTAGTAGTATATAGTAATTTTTACCCGGTAAGGCTGAAGCCCCAGCAACAAAGCACAAAATCAAAAACAGCTGCATAGTTACTGTATTATATTTTTAACAGAGTAAAAAGTTAAAGATTGGTAACTCTTTTATAACGGAAAAATAGCTGTACAAATTCCCATCAATTGCTGTTATCTATCATAACATAACAAATCAATGTTTTTTGGGAAATTACATGTGTTTAATATTTTACATTTTTGTGATAAAAAATCAGTTCCAACGTATTTCAAGATAAAAATGGAAAAAAAGGAAAGAAAAAATTCATATGTGAAAAATGTATATTTATTTTATTGTATTTCTTAGTTTCGTATTAGATTTAACCCTTTCGAAAAGGATATAAACTGTCCCACTTATTTTGGACACTGTAAAAAATTCTAATAATCTTGTTTCTTAAACTAAGCAGTTTTTAATGTTTAAATTTATATTTTTATAATCGCAATGATATGACATATCGCTTTATTATAGTTCTTTAAACGGTGGTGAAAGATCTATTGACTCTTCTTGACTAGAATTTTAGTTCCAATTTTTTTGCCCACAAAAATGCTTAAATGTGAAGTATTTTATGCTTTAAATTAAACCAATGAGTTTGAACTAAAATATTCTTGAATGCTGGCACTTTCAGTTATTTGTTGTTGGGTATTTTTCAAATAAATTTGAAAAAATATATTAAGTATGTTGAATATAATTTTAAGAATTTTGTTGCTTATTACAGTTTGCTCTTACATTTAAATAAAAAGAAATAACAATAGACTGAATTGAATCTGACTAAAATTGAAATCCCAACCATTTATATTTGAAAAACATTTTCGAGGCTGAATACTTGAAATTTATTTTTTCAATTTTAACTTTTCTCATTTTAGTTATATCTTACCTTTTTTTAATTTTGAAATTGGATATCTATATATTTAATATCTTAATATCTAAATATCTACATATATTATCTATATTTATAAACCTACCTGAATTGATCAACGATCAATTCAGCTAGATCAATGATCAATCACTTACCAGCAGCAAACAATTGGAAAACGTTTTCCTTTAAAGTAGAATAGTATAAACAACTGATTTATTGCATCATTTGATCGAATGATAAAGTGAAGTAATAGAGTTCAACCTCTGGCTTGGACATCTCGATATGCATGAAATAGTTGTAATGAAATTTGATTACACAAACCTAAAATAGTAGATCTTCTATTTCTTCTAAAACTTGAAAATAAAATATTTTACAGCTTCCGTGACCAACTGCTTTTTTTGCCAAAAATTAAAGTGTGGAGGAAATGGGCTCAAATCCCTTCCTAGCCCTAGTCGGGTTAGTTTATATCTAAAGGCGTGTTCAGAACACGTCCGAAGGTACCAATGTGGGGTTTTTTATTGGTTTTATTGGTACAACATACATATGCAGGCTTGTGTGCTCAATTAAGGCTTATAAACTTTTCTCAAATAGAAGGACAGATAGCACAATACAGAAAAGGACATTACAAAGAATACATCCAGGGTTACGGCGAGATTCGAAACTGCCACCTCCACGCTTAACAGAGCGTTTGGAGGTCGTTACAGCTCGGACAGGGAGGCCCCCCAAAGTGGGGGCTAAAATGCCGATGCTGTACCATTTACCAAAAGATCATTTGGTAAATGGTACAACATTTACCAAAAGATCACTGGTAAGGAAAAAATACGTCACTGGTTTATTCTATGCTTGATAAGAGGACACAATAATTACTTTAAGTTTTTACTCACTATAAAGTTTGCCCGCAATTATTATTATTAAATTTATTTACCCAAAAAAAAAAAATTGCTTTGAATAGTTCGTATACTACAAATCACATTACCTAATGCAAATTTTAGAGACTTTTGTTTTTTAAACGAAAGTATCGAAAATAAAAGTTCAGAAAACAAATGAATCTTATAATATCCTCATAATGAACCTCTAAGAAATTTAAAGCCACATTTTCAGTAAGAAATGAGTAATTCTTTTAATTATTTATTTTTGCAGATAATTATATTTTATTTTATATCTGTCATTAAGCAGCCGACCCAATTTTGAACTTTCAACTACTGATGTTCATCTCCATAGTCTTGTATTTTTGAACCAACCCAGAAGGCAAGGAGACTCTCTGACCAGTACCCCCAGAGGTTTGATTTGTTATGGTAACATGGAGGACTTTGTGACTCGACAGATTTAACGTGTATCAGTCACCATATACACGGGGAGTCTTCGGCCGGCCAGGATCGAACCCGCGAACTCTTGGACATGGGCACAGTACCAAGCAGGCTATCACGGCCTAGATAATTATATTAAAACTTGCGGAATCATTCATCTTACATTTAAAAAAACTGAAGAGATTTCAAGAAACGGAAATTCCAACTATCTTAAAGAGAGGCACATTGGAATCTTTCCAATCTGATTTTTATTTTGCATTATTTCTATTTCGCATCACTGATCTTTCTGGTTGAAATTTTCCTTCATTGAAAGTTCAGAAGAAACTTTTATATTCCTTTCAGTATTCTTCAGATTAATATAAGTTTTCTAAAAACATTTAATGTCCTCTTAATTGCTCTTTTGTATATTCCCATTCTATACCAAGCATTTTGAATCGATTAATTGTTTGAAAAGAGATTTTTTTGAAAGAACTAAGTATACTGAGTACTTCATATAACATTTTCAGGACAATAAAAGTCTCAAAATAATTTCCATTTATTTATTGCACCAAAATAAGCAAAACTCAAGAAAAAAAGTTAGGAAATTTATAATATCGCATAAGAAGTCACGTATAAGATCTCGTATAAGTCTCGTATAAGTCCCGTATAAGATTATAATATCGTATAAGAAGCATAAGATAGAAAATACAACTACAGATATCATAAAAAAACTAAGTTTCCATATGTCTTATAACCTATATGAAATAATTCCTCACTACGTAATTAATAGATGGAGATGACTGTCACTCATCCCATACGAAGCAAAAATCAATTTGTAAGCATAAGCCACGAGGCATATATTTTTTATCAAGTTTGCAATATGCAGTATACTAAACGAAATTCCGATCATTATATCAACAGTTATTCATACTGTTTTGTTTTCGAATTGCTAACGTATAATACTGAAAATAAACTTAGCACCTTCTTTCATTCAAAGGAAAATATTTCTACAATTGCGTGTAAAAAAGCAGATATCATGCAAAAAGATCATTAAAAATCTTCATAAAATGAGCTATGGTCACCTCACTATAACCACAAAATTTTGGAATTTTTATCTTCTCAAGTACATGGAGAGAAGGGAAAATTAAATTTGAAAAAGAGCAATACGTGAACTATATGAACTTAGAACTAATTTATTAATACTATCTAAAATGTTTTCGAGATCATTTTACACTTACAGTCGTCAATTACTTTTCTTATTTAAATGAACTGCACCACATGTAATAAAATTAATTTTCCGTGTTAACTTCCTACATACTTTACAGAAATGCTATTTTTTATTAGAGACGTGGAATTTTACTATATGCAATATGGCGAAAAAAATTCGAACACCCAGGGGTACGGACTAAAAGAGTCCAGAGGCATTTAATAATAATAACAAATGTCCCTTTCTTGCATTGATGACAACCTGCACATGTCTGGGGAGACTTTCGCTAGTTTTTCATTGGTGACCAAACAAATTGTCTTCCAATCGTCTATCACAAGGCATCTGTGTGTTAGTAGTGAAGATGCTCAATTTGGCTGGCTACGAATCTGCATCTTCTAATCCGCCCAAAGCAAATGGTGTTCCGTCGCTACTCTGAGAATGCCGGTTCAGGAAGAACAGTCCAGCCAGAAAGTCAATCCAATCCAGTGAACATCAATTTCATCAAAACATGACTGAACAAATCTCGATATGTGTGTGTGGATCAGCTATTGTGCTGAAAGAAGAAATGATCCTTTCACAAAACACTTCTATTGAGTTGGGAGAGCAGCTTCTGTCCAGAATATCCACATATATTTCAGAGTTCGTGTTTCCCCCTTCGCAACCTAGGGACCTTGGCGAATCATTTAAAACTGCATCATTCAGAAGTACCAGGCCAAATTCACTTCTTTTGGTGGATGTTTAAAAAAAAATTCCGAAAGTGTATATGGTTTCCAAGTTATTATTAAACAGAGTTTATAGGAAAACCTCAAAATTTCGCAGAAAGTTATAGAAGATAATTTTAGTATAAATTCTTTTTGTATTCGTTAAAAAGGATACTCATCAGGACAGTAAAAAGCAGAACTAATCGATGTATAGTAAAATATAATTATTTTTAATTATCGTGATTTACTTAATTATAGTATTAAGTATATCATTATTATTCACTGTATGTCAATATTATCGTGATAATCATTGACAAAAATGAGTTTTTACACGACAATTTCATGATATCATCGTGAATGCAGTTATTTAACCATAATACGATATTTCATACACGATATAATTATCATGCACGATAATTATATCAACTACGATATTTTCTTTGTCGTTTGTATCTTATGCAAAATAAAATTAGCCAAGAAACTTAAAATTAGAGTGAATAAAATAGAGAATTGAATGAAACCGTAAGTGTAAACTTTTATTTCATTGCACATTTTTTAATATGGGTAACAATGGTAAGTTTAGGAAGTTATCTTCGTAATCTTCAATAGAAATCTTCAATAAGTTGCATGTGAAACGACGTAATATTTACACTACATCAGACGGTGATAATCTTTATACTAAAATGGAAAAAAAAGACATTTAAGGTTGAATATGATATATATTAGTATATTAAAAATAATTTCATTACTTACTAATTATAAAAGTATGTTACTTTTTAAATAAAACTAGAAGCTTTGCAACTCAATCCTTCCTGTTTACTGCACAATTATTTTTCTTTTATGATTATAAAGAGATTGACATCAAAAATAAAATGCTCTCTTAAAAAAAATCTCATATATAGCTCATCAATACTTTAAATTGAAATTCTTTGAAATTATTCACGCCTCAATTACTCTTATTTTCTTGAAGTGTAAAAGAAATAATCTGTGCACATGAAACAACTGAGCTTGTTTCTTTGAGGTAGATTTGTATCAGTCTCAAAACAACCTCAAGTGTGAATAAAACGACTTCATACACCTTGATTATGAACATTGGGAAGTTGTTTTTTAAGGGTTTTTTTGAAGTAAACTTCAAAGAAACCTCAAACCGACCTAATCGCTTCAAAACAGCCGTAGATAAACCTCAAAAACACCTTAAATTTTTATAAAGACAGATACTGATTTTTAATAAAACTACAAATAATATATAAATCTACGGCTTAACTAATTAAGATTACTATAATACATCTTGCTTATCTATTGGCATTCATTCTATACCTTAAAATAGGAGCAAAATTCGAATTTTATTTCTGTATGTTCAAATTATTATGATTTTACTTAAATTTACTTAGAACTTCAGGTTTATTTTTTGAAATCTCAATTCATTTAGTGTATTATGCAATATGTTAATCTACATATTGATTAATTAAAGAAACTATATTTATAAATTACATGAATGTTAGAAAGCTTAGCTGATTTGATATAAAAGCTATATTCAACATTTTGATAACTGCATCATTTTTACTGCTTTGTACCAGTTAGATTAAAAAAGAATACACAATTTAAACATCTTTTTATGTAATGTTTCTCAGTTACGCTTGCACAAATTAGAACTCTACACCCCTCTTTATAAAAAGCTGATTGCTTACAATTTTTCCTCAATTATTGCATGTTCATACTATTATCGAGTTTCCTAAATAAGACTGACTATTTGAAAAAGCTATTCAAAAACGGTGAGACGAATGGAGAAAATGGACTATTTACTGTGTTATGCAGAGGAACGATGAACAAATTTTTAAATTGGCCACAAAACTTGCCAGTAACGACTGCAACGACTATTCCAGTAAATATATTTTACTTGGGAGTTTATTTTGTCTGCAGACTGCACCACGTGATTGATTCAATGGCAGTAGCTTTGAAAACATTGCTGTAACGTTTTTCTCAGTTACTGGTGACATCTGTTGACAATATTTGTAACAATTGTGGAAACTTAGTGAGAATGTGTAAATTGTCTTGATAAAAATGCTTTAAACAGTACCTAAGCATTCTTTTCTATTTTCTTTTTGATTTTCCAGATCAGATAAGGAGAATCGGTAAAGAATAAATTTGAGGTTTAAATTAAATTTGAGATTAAGATGAGTGACATGAGGTGGAAATCGAGGTTTATCAATGAGGTTACTTTTGGTGGAGAACATAACCTCATTTTCTACCTCAAGTGTATTTTTTTTAAACCTGTCAACCTTAGTGCAATCTTTATTATAAAGGTAATACGGATATCATCATCTTAATGCATTTTATAATGTTAATTGAGACGTCATAAATATTTTATGTAATATTGATACATATTTTAACTGACGGTGCTTCTACAATGAATCCATAATAATAAATAAATGCAAATGTGATTAAAAAATATTATTGATAAGTAAATTTTATGCGTACAGCTGCATTTCTTCAAGCACTCTTCTTCGTTATCAAATTTGTTTTCATTGCCCCCACATCCACCGTAGATAAATTCTTTGCATTGTCCAGTTTTGGCATCGTAATAAAACATGGGGAAATATCCACGGCACATTCCAGTATCAGATTCCATCAGGCAGGAGTTAGCTTCTGCGGTATAAAAGGAACCTAAAGAAAGTAAAAATATAAGTAAATAAAATTTTTAAAAAAATTTTCTTGCCTCACACTTGAAGCAAAGCTATAAGTTTAAACTATATATATATCACCATGTCGTAAAGAATTATCTGGGCTCTCGAACGGACAAAGAACATCTCTAAAAACTTCTATATTTTTAAGTTATTAAATTTTTTTTAAATCGTAATTTGGTGACATTTTTCCACCTCGCAAAAAATTATCAAAATCACTGCCTTATTTTTAGTTTTTGCATATTTTTATTATAATGCAGCATTGGAGTGAGTTTTTAAACATTAAAAAATTAGATCGCAAACATAATTTCATTTTCATAAAACTGTGACTTTTCTCCATATTGATGTTTTGTGCCATTTTCAGCATAGGCCATGAGACCATATATAAAGTAAACTTGATCAAACATTCATGAGTAACTGTTGCAAACTCACAGTAGTAATGAAAATAGCATATTATACGTAAAAGAGCATCATTTCATGTAACGACGGAGCCTTCGAAAAACAACCTTAATTTCATTAAAAAGCGATGATTTAAATTACTCAGAAAATGTAAGTGATATGTTACGCTGCAGTTTCCTATGAATGAGATCCAAGGATCGGGTCATGAGTTTACTATATATCACTTAAAATAATCATTTTGAAGCATATTTAAAAATAAATCAAACGTAAAGGAAAATTATTTCCACCAACAATACGAAATGTAAGACTTACTTAAGAAATGAGAAAGTAGTGAATGAACGTTAACGAAAAAGAAGTAGTTTTCTTAAATAGTTAGCAGCGGTAGTTAGTACTAATAATTCATTGTCTAATTGTTTATTTTTATTTATAAAAAGAAAACCACGTGTTTGGAGCAGCATGACCTTTTATGCCTTACGGCATAATTTATTTATGCATTGCCAATAAAGACATTTGCTCAAAACATTGTGATAAATTTTAATTTCTGTTACCAACTATGTGTTATTTAGAAGTGGAAAGCATCAGCATGGCGTTATTTTCGTTTGAGGTAAACTTTCTTTACCTAAAATCATTTTTCTAATGAAGACATTCCTTTTGCCAAGTTTAGTATATTTGATTTAAAATAGAAATTTCGATAACCATCTAAAAATTTTAACTATTGCGTGTATTTTTTTCCAAAAATTAAATCATATAATTCTGTTATCCGAGCACAATTATAGTTCCATACAGTTCTTTTCTATGTACGAGTATAATGTAGTACTAGATTATATTCCAGAATGAAGTTCCAGAGAGAGGAAGACTAGTTTATTCCACCGCTTGATCCCGAAGTTTTCTTGTCTTCTAGGTTGGATTCGAAATTGCGAGACCATAGAATTGAGCATGGATAATCATAAACTCAAAATTATGTCTGCTCTTCAACGCCAGTTATACAATATAAAATAAAATACATAAGAAAAAGTCATATTAACGGAAGTTTCCATCACCATTCGAAATTTTTATTTTTAGTATGTAGCGGTACACCGAGATTATTGCTTAAACCTATTTCATTCATTTTTCTATTCTATATTATGTTGTTCGTTTTTTATCTCCCATTTTAGAGGTTATTATAATTCAATTTTGTAAAAAGAGTCTAAAACGTTATGGCAGGGGTGGTTATTATAAGGCACCCTGTTTAAAAAATATATATAATAGTAAGTTTAATTACCAGCAACTCGATTTGGGCAGTTTTCAGAAAGAACACATTGTCCATCATTGGTTCGGACATATCCCTTCTTGCATTGACATCCAATGACGCACATCAAGTTGCATATTTTGTGTGGATTTTTATAATTTTTACAAGTAAGAGGACATGCTGTTCCACAAGTTTGGTATTCTTGATTTTCGCCACAAACAGCTGAAAACAATACTTAATTTTATACTGAAGTTTCATCTTGAACTAAATGCATCGATGAGCTCATAAATAATTTTATCAAAAAAATTTAAATATTTTAAAAGTTAAAGATTGTTTCGAAGTATCTATGCAGGAACTTTTTAACAACTCTCAAACATTAATAGTTATTTTAAAAATATCTCATTCTATACTTAATGAAGAAAATAAACACTTCTAAGAACAAAATCTTTTTAAAATGCTAATTGTATGGATGTTGTAATATAATATTATCTTAATTTAATCTTATTCTAATTTGATCTTGTATTAATTTGATCTTATTTAATTAATTTACTCTTATGACATAAAATTCAGATTTACTTCTACTTTAATTAATAATTACAACACTGATACGAATTTGAAAGTGTTTGTTTTTTTACTGAAATTATTTTTCAGGTGTAAAGTACGTAATTAGAACTTTGTTAAAATTCGAGCATTATACATTGCAAAAAATTCCAGATCAAATTTCGACATTAAGTATTCGACATAAAGCATTCGGCATTTTGGGTGCATCATCCTTAAAATCTATTTTTTCCTTAAAATATTAAAGAGCAATTGATGCAGTAATATTTATTTAATTATAATGATTCAGTGTTTTTATTGTAATTATTACTGTAAAAATTACGGTATATCAAATATTTTATTGCGTAATATGTTACGGTAAAAATAGATTTTACGATAGAAAGTAATAGCACCCGATACTTTTTACCATAATATGATCCAGAATTTAACAGTGTGTTGCCATCAGATGCTTGATTAAGTATAATGCTCAGCTTTAAAATATAATATTCCGAAGAAACATATTTTAAATTAGCTAATACATATTGGGCAAAATAGATTGGATTTTTTTCTAACAAAGATTTAAACTGTAAGCTTTGTTAAAAACTATTTGCTTTAAAAAATTCATCGGGGAAATGCTTTAAAAAGTCACAAATCTTATCTCATATTCGCAGTTTCCCTTCCTTTTTGATTTTTTTATTATTTTTTTTTAATTAACGTGAATTTATTGAGCTCATTTTAGTTAAATACAGAAATTATAAGGACTTTGCCTTGGCCATTTTTGGAGTAAAAAAAATTTAAAACTTTCATCTATAATACATTGTTTCCAATTAATAAATCTTATCAAAAAAGAATATAAGAATTCCGTAGTGTAACAATTCGGCTCCTTGAAAACAGCCGCTGTCGTTTTAAAATTACCCGAGCTAATAGGAAAACTTATTCAGTACTTTCTAATTAGCCTCTCACTTTTTCGGTTTGTTTCAGTTAATCCACATATTTTCAGGCTAATTTGAAAATATAATTATTATTTCTTGATTAGTCTGCTTTCACTGAGGCAGTTTGCAATAAGATCAGAACTATTAAAACTTGTTGAAGGAATATTGCATAAATCCTAATCAAAATTCATTCGAATTGAGTAATTTTGGTCTCATTTCTTAATTAATTTAAATGCAGATTGGATAAAGCCTAAATCATATTAGAAAGATTATAAAATAGTATTGAAGATTTTTCTCACTTTTTTGGTGGCTTTTCAAAATGGAAGTAATATTTGCAAAGAGTCAAATTTTTCCATAAGGTAACACAGTAACAATACGATAAACAAAAAGTTGTCCACATGACTCATGAGTAAATGACTTCAATAAAAGAGGAACTGAACACATACCATTGCGACTGCTGCATTCATTTGGTCTTACACATTGTCCATACTTGGTTTTGACATATCCTTCGTCACAGTGACATCCTGGATTGCACATAAAACTACAAGCTTTGGGAGGATTCAAATAATTCTCGCATGTGATGGGGCATTGTGTTCCACAGCTACTATAATGAGAGTTGACTGGACAATCTGGAGAAAAAACATTGAGCATGCAATTTCACATTGAAAAAATGGACACTCTAACATCATGAAACTTTTTCCGTTTTGACGAAACCTTTTCCCTTGTGGTACACGATTAAAGCAAAAATGTGGTCAAAATGACGGATTCCTCGAGAAACGAAATTCGTCAAGAGTTAAGAAATGTTTCGTCATTCAATTTATTTCAAAAAATAATTAGCAATGCGTCTCAAGATATCTTACAGGTGGTATTGTGGATCACTTTTTCATGGGCACCATATGGGTAGATCAACAACGTAGGGACAGATGAATTACATCCATGCGCGAAACGGGTCTGGAACTCCTTGACCACCATCCAGCCGCTCGGCTCGTTTCGTTATTCTAGTTCCAATCGTTTATTCTTCATTTTCGCTCATAATCTCTGTTAATGCATTACAATGAAGTTCCGAGTTGAGGTAACATTTTCGTCATGTATTCATTTTGCATTTGGTCTCGTAATTTCGTGACTAAATGATTCCCAAAGTTAACGAAATAAAGCTCAAGAATTGCTGAATGGTCAAAAAGGAGAATTTTATTTCTGATTGTGTGAACAAATGGCTATTAACTCCACTGGCCTAACCTAACTGAGCATTACACTCACCTGCACAACAGGCACACTAACCTAACTAAGTATTGAACACACACAGAAAACAAATGATCTATATAAAATAAAATAAAAGATATTCATTAGAAGACTTAATTAAATTTGCTTTATGCATGATTTCCTCATTGACCACTTTTAATTTTCAATTTAAAATGCTTGTCACAAATAAAATTATAAAAGTATATATATTAATATTTATGTTAAAAAACACTAAGACTTTGTGGAAATTTAAATATTGGGGGATGATAGAAGAATAAGATCACAAACCTGTTCTATTGTAAGAGAAAACGGGAAAGAGTTGAAAATATACAATTGGAAACATCTTTAAGTATCATCACAGTTGATGAGCGTCAGGGCTTTTGACGGAATGTAAAATTTCACGTCATAATATAAAGGTTCTGAACTTGATTCACAAGATTTAAATAAAAAAAGAAAGTTGAGTTTTTTTTTAATTGCATGCAAATTCTTTTTATTTTTTTTAACAAGTTTTTTTAATTGTATGCAAATCGAGGTATATTAATCCATTTACAGAAAAGTAAAAGTTGAAAATAATATAATTACTTTATTGTTTCATCGCAGTAGATGTATATTCATCATTTATTGGAAATATTCAATTTCCTTTTCATTGTTTTAAGATTTGTAATCGAACTAAGAAATAAAATTTTAAAAAAAAACAATTCAGGTATATGCAGAGATTTTTTTCTGTCATATCACAGTTCATGAACAGTTGGTCAATTAGAGAAACGGTAAAGTTCCTATCCATAGTTTTAGAAATTTTAAACCAATTTAATAAATTAAATAAAAATATTCTAGACAAATATGAGGTTTTTTTAAAATTTTATCAAAGTTGATGAACATTAGGCTGTTTGGAGAAATTTTAAAGTTCCCTTCCATAGTCTTAGAATTTAAACTTTACCAAGAAATTAAATGGAAAATCTATATGAGTTTTTTACCCTTTTTATCAGATTTAAACATTATATATATGTGGAGGTTGACGTCAGGTATAGCTGAAATAACTACGCTTTTGTAATTAATAAATTTAATAAAAAACATAACAATAGATATGAAACAACGGCTCCGTTTGAGCGTTTTCGCTGAAGTGTTACANGACAGATGCATTGCCAACATACTATATATAAACAAATAAATGAATTTTATTATTATCGATGAAATTTTTAAAAGTTATAGAATCAACATTGGAAGTGTCTGCTTTCCGAAGTATAAAACAGTGACAATTTAAAGATTTGACGAAAATGTTTTCTCCAATTTATATGCCCCAAAAAAATAAAATTCACTCACCTCACCTTTAATGTAAGAGAATGTGTGTGAAGAAGACACTTGGAACACTATCAGGTTTTCTGCTCTGTCTGTTTAGTGAACGATTTTCAAAATAAAGCATTTTGTGCGTAAACATCTTCTTCGACGCAAGCACACAAATCATACAAGGAATAACCTTCCGCATAATCACAAAACATTAAACACAAAACAAAATAACATTTAAATAGAAAAAAATTAAATCTATTACGAGAATGATGAACTATTAACTTTGTTATAAAATCGAGATTCTGCATGCTGAAATGCTACTACAGAATTAAAACTTAACGTGCTGTAAGGGTCATTTCCAATTATAAATTTCAACCGATTTTTTTTTAATGCGTTCAAATTGTGTTGAATGTTATCGCAATTTTAGATTTTATCGAAATTTATCGCAATTTTACACCATACCTTTTACTTGTTTGATTTTGCAATATCTAGCAGGAAACCTTTTCATATTTCATAAATTTTGCTTGACATCTTATTAGGAGACTTAATAATCAATGCGTAAATTTTTTTCATGTATTTTTTATCGATACATGTGATGATTTTGCAGAATTACTTTTATCAATTAAATAAATTTAGGTTGAATGTAAAAACTTTAATTGAATAAACTTTCATTTATGATTCAATCAATAACTTTCCTGATATAAAGAATTTACAGACAATTACTTTTATGCCCTGTTTTTCATTATTATTATCATTATTTGCAATAAATGATCACAAAGGCACAGAACCATGATTTTCTTCAGCACAAACACTTGTATTTTCAGATTGTAAATTAATAAACACATTTCATTTTTCCATTTCAGAAAAAACAAATATATTCTCCGGAATTCTAGAGGTGAGTTAATTGCAGAGTTCAATACGCCAGCAAATTATTGAATTCTACTATCTTCTTCTATACATATACATTTTTAAATACATTTATATTATTCAACAAGTAAATACTATGACTCAAACCTCTATAGAAGCTAGTGTGAATTAAAAATCATATAGATCCAGTTTATTAAATTTGCCATCCTAATCTTCTTTTTTTTGTCGAAATGCGATATACATTGTTTTTCTGTTAAATAGCACACGGTAAAAAAGAAATTTAAAAAAAACACTAGCAAATATACCATAATGACATTTCTGCCAAAGAAAATTCCTAAGCTTGTTTAATAAGCCTAAAATATACTGTATTTAAACCATTCATTTAATATTTTTACCTTTCATATAGTAACAATTTTCTGGAAATTCTGGTTTTCCAAATTATTCTTATTACCACACAATTAGTAAGAAATGCAAAACTGAAAAGTAAATTTTACTAACTAAATGATTTTTATGCGATGCTCTAAAACATCGGTTTCTAATTTTTTTCGGTAATGGAACCCTAAATGATTAACCTTCTTTCGGCGAAACCCCTACTTTATAGGCAAAGTAAACAAAGGCAGTTGTGAAAAAAAAACATTAAAAAGTCATTATTTTAGAAATAGTTAAAAAGAGGAATATACGGCGTTGGACTCGTGTTCGTGATAACGAGAGTTTGACTCCTGCCGGCCGAAGAACCCCCGTGTATTAAATGGCGACTAGTGCTCGTTAAATCTGTCGGGGTCACAAAGTCTTCCAAGTTCCCATAATAAATCAATATCTCCTGAGGTACAGTATCAATATCAATATCTCTTGAGATATCTCTTGATTCAGGAATACCTTTGTTCCTGGATTGGGTTCAAAGTTACAGGGCTGCGGATTTAAACATTGGTAGTCGTAAACTCAAATTTGGATGGGCTGCTTAACGAAGTTTATAAGAGGAATAAACTTAAGTTAGTTTTTATGTCCGACAGTTAAATTCAAAGTCATGAACCTGTATCTAGTCTAGCTATATATTTCTTTTTGGTGTAATGTATGCTTGTAGTTGAAAATGAACGAAATAAGCAGAATAATCGGGGTTTTTACAAAGGAAAACTAAAAAGACAACCGTTGAAAATCATTATTAGGAAAACGTACTTCTTTATTAAGTAATTGGGTTATTTTATTTTTATATGAAATGCCCGATCGGAAAAAATTAATGAAGTTTTTATAAGTCCAAGATCTTTTCATAATTTGTCCAACATATTGTTATTAGAAAAATTACATTTATGAAAAAATTTATCTACTTTTTTATCGGCATTTTACTTGAAAAATGTTCATAAGGGTAAGCAAAAAAAATTAATTATGGATTATTAATTGAATTTAACTGTAATTAAAGGTTCTTGTTAAAAAAATGTCCAAACACTCGAACCCCCTTTTTAACTCTTCCACAGAGCCATAGTAATTTGGGGAACATCATTTGGGAACCACTGCTTTAAACATGACAAAATTACTAATTTTACCACGTTTACTAAGTTTTATCACACATCATAAAACTTATATTTCACTGTTAATATCCCCAAAATCATTAAATCGGTCAAAATAACCGAGCTTTATCGTGTCAGATACACCATAAATTTTACCTTATTTTGATAGTTTTAACCATACTCTGTTTCTCAGTGCATGAAAGACTGATTTAATTTCCGGAGAAAGTGCGACTTTTTCTTGCAGGATCATCATAGGGATGAAAACGAATAATTGTTTCAACCAACTATGGCATTCATAGTTTTTTTAGCATTTAATTTAATTAAAAGAAGAGAACATGAGGCCGGAAATAATGTTTTAATATGATTTCATTAGATTCTTTAGATGCAGATAATTACAATATTAGTCATGAAGATGGCATCACCATTTGAGGAAGTCACAATATTTACACTATTTTAGACATATCTTCATTCTGAAATTAATAAAAGAAACATACATATCTAATATTTTATTGCAGATTCAACAAAATTTATACTGATATATTTTTATGAATTATATCTGTATTGGCTTTCATCGTAGAGGCTTACTTTTTTCTCTAGTTAGTTCGAATCTTAAACTGATTCTGACTCGCATAAAACATGATCCAAAGTGAAAACAGAAATGCTGAACTACTGCAAAAAAACTGAAAGGTCATGATGAAAGATGCGTTACCAACATACTCAATAACAGTTAACCTCTTTATTTACACATAAAGTTTCATTAAACTTAATACGCGTGTTGTATGCATACATCTTTCCTTCTTTGCATACACTTTTTTCAAAGACTTCCTTTTCGTTTAGAAACAAACTGTTACCTGTTTAACAGACGAAATCTCCTCGCCAGTTATCTGGAAAACTATCTGATTACGAGGTCAAACTGTTTCAAGAAGGAGAGCGAGCTAAAACATTTAGGACAACTATTGACTCGGATCAAACAAAGTAACCTCTCTTCTTTGAACCTCCCATCTCAAAGCAGTAGACAACCACAAACACTGTGTGGTAGGAGGAGTTGGACCGGCAGTATTCCACAAAATCAAACAGGCATCGATGAGATTCAAACCTCGTTGCCAACAGCGGCACTGTTTGTCGTGATCAACTGGACATTACATTTTGCTTTGTGGGGCGAAAAATTATAAGATTCAGGCACTTGAAACTACAGGGGAGAGTAGAAAAATTTAAAAATATAGCAGGGAGTACAATGGAATAAAAAAATTAACATTTGATACTTAGTTCAAGAATTGTAAAGTTTTAAATTTGCAGTGAAATTTTTTTTTAAAATAATAAATAACGTTGATTGATCTCGCTCGTTGACGTTGATTGTGCTCGCTGAAATGTAACTATAGATTTAAAACTTGAAAGGTTAAATTAGCCGTTTTCAATTATAAACGCCACGCAAGCTTTTTTTCAATTGAAATTCCGATTTGTTTGAAAGTTAATGCAATTTTAATGTATTGACTTTTTGTACGCCATATATTTCATTCGTTTAATTTCACAGTATCTGACAGGAATCTTTTAATATTTCATTAATTTAGTATGACCTTCTCTTAGAGGAGACTGTATTATCTATGCATACATTTTTCCATATATTTCTGACAGGATGATTGTTTTTGATTAAACTAGATTCTTTAGATACAAATAACTGCAGTTGAGTCACGAAAAAATCGTCAGCTTTTGTGGCAGTATCTGACAGGAAACTTTAGATCATACGCATTAGAAGTCTTTAAATCATACGCATTACAGCGCAATATTTGCATTACTTCAGACATGTCGTCATTCAGAAATAAAAAATATAGATAGGCATGTAGTATTTGTTGTTAGATTTGCCATAGTTTTACTATTATAACGATTCCTTTATAATTGTAAAACTATGGCGAATCTAACAACAAATAATTTTACAATTATAACGATGGCTTTTTTGGGCAATATTCGTAATTAATTACAGTCCCTTACCAAGACGCACTATAAGATTCTATGTAAAATCTTAACTATCAGGTGATACAATACAACATTATTGTTTTTACGCCGCTGAGACCGGTTCACACTTGCTTATGATCTTGTATGAATTGTTTAACATTGTATTGCAGTACGTTAAAAATAAATAAAAATAGGAAGTATCTGAATCTCTTGAATAAATACCCTTTATATGTATGTTTAAATATAAATATATTGCATATAACTAAGTGTGATTATTAAAACACTACAGTGCTTCTAATAATTTGGTCGAATAATTGTTACATACTCAAATAATACCTGACATAATAAATATTCTATATTTATATAATATATGGTCTGATTTATCCAGTCGTAGAATTTGATTTGCATATCGCCTAATTTAGCCAACTGATATACTGGTATACCAACTGATGTACCAACTGAACGTAAACAAGTGCTAATCGGTTTCAGTCACGCAAAAACAATAACACTGTATAGTATCATCCGATAATTAGAATTTTACATAGAATCTAATAATTTGGCTATGTACTGTATAGCAATTTTTGCAGCTAAATATGAATTCCTTTATGGATTCTTTTACGTGCATTATTTTAATTTCTCTCCAAAAAAAATTATTTTAAAAATAAATAAAAGCATTTGTCGATTCTAACAAGATATATTTATAAAACATTACAGATTAAGAATGAATCTAATTACCGGATCTATTTTAACAGTTTTCGGGACGAACGCATCTTCCGTCGTTGGTTCGGACGTATCCCTTCTGGCATTGACATCCAATGACGCACATCTTATTGCATATTTTGGGTGGATTGTTATAATTGTCACAAGTAAGAGGACAAGCTGTTCCACAAGTTTGGTATTCTTGGTTTTCGCCACAGACAGCTGAAAACAATACTCAATTTAATATCGGAAATCTTTTGAACATATCTAAATTAGAATACAAAATTTTTCTAAAAAAAAAAAATTCAAATACAAATCAATCGTAATTTATGCATTTATTACGATTTACTGAAAACTGCTAACAAGCTTTCCTGCAATAATAAGTAATTTGAAAATCTAAGCTATAAATAATAGTCGTAGCATAAACATTCATTGTTGATAGGTCAGATTTAATATAAAGTTGCATGGTAAATACTATAAAACCTAACCTATAAGCATATATCAAACCTAACATTTAACCTATACTTATAAGCATATATTATACATAACCTTTTAGTATGTAACAGTATGCAGCGACTGTCTTGGAAACTATTTCAACATAGGTGTTCATTATTTTTATATTCTGTATACTGCTATTAAATACACTCTATCACAAAAAAAATCGACGCACCAAGAAGCAATCATCTGATTGCTTTGAAATTTCGTGTGCATGAATGTTTTGAACAGATATGGCTGGAATGATGCCGACGACTGGGGACGTATAGCCTTTAGCGACCAATCCCGCTTCCAACTGTGTCCTGACGATCATCGAAGACGTGTTTGGANTTCTATATTTATATAATATATGGTCTGATTTATCCAGTCGTAGAATTTGAATTGCATATCGCCTAATTTAGCCTACTGATATACTGGTATACCAACTGATGTACTAACTGAACGTAAACAAGTGCAAACCGGTTTCAGTCACGCAAAAACAATAACACTGTATAGTATCATCCGATAATTAGAATTTTACATAGAATCTAATAATTTGGCTATGTACTGTATAGCAATTTTTGCAGCTAAATATGAATTCCTTTATGGATTCTTTTACGTGCATTATTTTAATTTCTCTCCAAAAAAAATTATTTTAAAAATAAATAAAAGCATTTGTCGATTCTAACAAGATATATTTATAAAACATTACAGATTAAGAATGAATCTAATTACCGGATCTATTTTAACAGTTTTCGGGAAGAACACATCTTCCATCGTTGGTTCGGGCGTATCCCTTCTTGCATTGACATCCAATGACGCACATCTTATTGCATATTTTGGGTGGATTCTCATAATTATCACAAGTAAGAGGACAAGCTGTTCCACAAGTTTGGTATTCTTGGTTTTCGCCACAGGCAGCTGAAAACAATACTTAATTTAAAATCGGAAATCTTTTGAACATACCTAAATTAGAATACAACGGTTTTACTGAAAAAATATTGAAATATAAATCAATCGTAATTTATGCATTTATTACGATTTGCTGAAAACTGCTTATAAGTTTTCCAGTAATAATAAGTAACTTGAAAACCAAAGCTACAAATAATAGTCGTAGCATAAACATTCATTGTTGATAGGTCAGATTTAATATAAAGTAGCATGGTAAATATTATTAAACCTAACCTACAAGCATTTACTAAACCTAACATTTAACCTATACTTATAAGCATGCATAAAACCTAACATTTAACCTATACTTATGAGCATATATTAAACATAACCTTTTAGTATGTAACAGTATACAGCGATTGTCTTGAAAACTATTTTAACATAGGTGTTCATTATTTTTCTATTCTGTATTTTGCTATTAAATTCACTCTATAACAAAAAAATCGAAGCACCGATTGCTTTGAAATTTCGTATGCATAAATGTTTTGAACAGATATGGCTGGAATGATCCCGACTGGGGACGTATAGTCTTTAGCGACGAATCCCGCTTCCAACTGTGTCCTGACGATCATCGAAGACGTGTTTGGAGACGCACAGGGCAGAGGGGGGATCCTGCCTTCACTATTGCACGCCACACCGGCCCTCAACAAAGCATTATGATCTGGGGTGCCATTTCCTTTGACAGCCGGACCCCTTTGGTCGTCATTAGAGGTACACTTACTGCGCAGCGGTACGTCGACGACATCCTAAGACCTGTTTTGCTACAGTTCCTTTCGCAGCGCCCTGAGCTGATTTTTCAGCAGGACAATGCCAGACCACATACGGCACGTGTTGCTATGAACTGTCTGCAAGCTTGTCAAACTCTTCCTTGGCCTACCAGATCACCACATCTCCCTCCCATAGGGCATGTCTGGGATATGATGGGAAGGCGATTGCATCAGGCACGAAATGTTGATGACCTCGTTCGACAATTGGATCGAATTTGGCAGGAAATATCCATCCGGGAGCTTTATCGGTCTGTGCCACGCCGTGTGGCAGCTTGTATCCAGGCTAGAGGCGGATCAACACCTTATTGAACTTGTTACTGTAACTCTGCAATAAATTATTCAATTGCTCTAAAATTTTAATCATTTACTATTCTGTACACTGCCTTCCTATTCACCAATTTTAGTTTCAATCGGACAACTCCTTCTTGTTGCGTCAATCTTTTTTTTTGTTATAGAGTGTATTTGCTTGTTTTCCCCTTTATACAGTTTATTATAATTCAATTTTAAGAAAGGATTCTGAAGCCCCATTGTATGGTTGGTAATTACGGCGAATCCTGTACAAAAAAAAAATTCCTATAGAACAGCAACTCTAATTACCAGCAGCCCGATTTGGGCAGTTTTCGGGAAGAACACATAGTCCATCACTGGCCCGGACGAATCCCTCCTTGCATTGGCATCCAATGAGACAAAGGGCGTTGCATATTTTGGGTGGATTGTCATAATTGTCACAAGTAAGAGGACAAGCTGTTCCACAAGTTTGGTATTCTTGATTTTCGAGACAAACAGCTGAAAAATGCAAAAATCAGAATTATGTGGGCGAGGAAAATATTTTACAATCTTTTGGAACTTAAACACTTTAATCATAAACTAATTTCAAATAACTTTAAAATTAGCTATCATTTGAATTCAAATAACTTCAAAATTAGAAATCATTTTAATTCTATTAATTTCTAAAATAACAATAATTTGAATTTAACTAACTTCAAAATTAACAGTACTTTGAATTCAAACAACTTTCAAATTAACAATACTTTTAATTCAAATGACTTCAAATTGAAGGCATACCGTTGTTGCATTCATCTGGTCGTACACATTGTCCTTCCTTATTTTTCACATATCCTTCGTCACAGTGACATCCTTTTTTGCATATTAAAACACAAAATTTGGGAGGATTCAAATGATTCTCACATGTGACAGGGCATGCTGTTCCACATTTATCGTAATGCGAATTAACAGGGCAATCTGCAAAATAATTAGAGTGAGAAGTTACATTTCAAAAATAAATCAGTGAAATTATAAGGTTGAAGCAGCATAGCAATAAGCTTCAAGTTTTATAAAGGTTAAATTTTGTCTAACTGATCCTTTTCATTCTATCCTGGTTGATACTGCGCAAGCTCTCTGAATTTCCATCAAAGAACAGCCCAATACAAAGAAACATCTTTTTGTCTACATGGAAATTAGATCGATTTTCTCCAAAAACGCTCTTCAAAAAAATAAAAAATTTGGCTTACCCCAAGATATTTAATTATAAAACTGATAATTTTTTTAATGGCTAAGTCTATTGTGTAGTTTAAAATTATACATAGCTCTTTGTATTCTAACTTTATTCATAGCTCTAGTATTTTAATATTATGCATAGTTAAATATTATACATAGTAGTCTAAAATTATTTTAGTACTTTCCAATGACGTGCCATTGTACAAAGTCACGTAGCTCCGCGTATTACTTTAAGATGATTTGATTTGTGCGAAATAAGGAATTTATTTCAAAGGATTTCATCTTCACAGACAAAAGTGGTATATTAGAAATTAGAAAAAATAGTGTAGTGGCACAAAGAAGGAAACTATTCTTGCAATCAAAAACTTTATGCCGTTTTCTCAAAATACGTATTTTTAAAAGGAGAAATAGTAATGTGGATAATCCATACTTTGACCATTACTAAATTAAAGTATTAAATAAATAAATACTAGTACTAAATATTAATAAATAACCAATATTAACAAATAAAAAGTTTTCATAAATAATAAATAGTAATAAATAATAACAATTATGCATATTAATAAATAATAAATATATAAATGTTAATTCATAACTAGTAATATATAGTAATTTTTACCCAGTTCGGCAAAAGCCCCAGCAATAAAGAGCAAAATCAAAAACAGCTGCATAGTTACTGTATTATATTTTTTACCGAGTAAAAAGTAAAAGGTTGGTAACTCTTTTATAGCGGAAAAATAGCTGTAAAAATTCCCACCTATTGCTGTTATCTTAAAATACGATTAACATAACAAATCAATGTTTTTTGGGAAATTACATGTGTTTAATATTTTACGTTTCTGTGATAAAAAATCCATTTCAAAGTATTTCAGGGTAAAACTGGAAAAAAAAGAAAGAAAAAAATAATATTTTAATAAAATGTTTTTAATGTACAAAATGTATATTTATTTTATTTTTTAGTTTCGAATTAGATGTAACTCTTTCGAAGGGGATATAAACTGCCCCACTTCTTTAGGACACTGTAAGAAATTCTAATAATTTTTGCCTCTATGAAAATAGATGTTGTTAATATTTCACGTAAGATTTAGAAAAATGCAATGATATAACATATTGCTTTATTACAGGCCTGGAAAATGTGGCCAAAGTTCCGTTGGCTCTTCTTGACTAGAATTTTAGTTTTAATTTTTTTACCCAAAAAAAATTTTTAAATGTGAAGAATTTAATACTTTAAAGTGAGTGAGTTGGAACTGAAATATTCTTGAATGTTGGCACTTTCAACTACTCGATGGTGGGTATTTTACCACGTTTATATAAACTTGCCTTCGTGTATGTCTGTCCGGGTGGAATTTTGTAATCGATTTTAAATTTCTATAAGTTTT